TTTGAGGTGGAGACGTTGTAAACAATTTAAAAACCCTAGTTCATGCAAAGTTGGGTCGTTGTGTAAAATAAAACAGAATGCAGTGATCCAACAAAGTGAAGTCAGGTCCAGTTTCTTTATTTTGTTGAAATGTTTCCTCATTCATCCAAAGGACTTCATCAGTCCGAGGAGCCACAACAAACTCAGTCTTATAAATAGCAGCTTCACAACCAGTTTGCTGGTGATAAGATGGCTTCTGGAGTCCGCCCTCTTCCCCCGTTGACTCCTCTGAGGCAGCCATGGCCAAAGTGGTTCAAAACATCAAAGTTCATGCTCAATAATCCAGACAGAAAGTCCAGTAAAGTACAGTCAGATCCTCTGGATGGTTTCTTTATTTTGTTGAGAAGTTTCATCCTCCATCCAAAAGGACTTCATCAGTCCGAGGAGCCACAACAAACTCAGTCTCACAAGCAGAATGCAATAATGCAGTGTTTCCAATTATTTTTTTTGTGTGAAGAAACATTATTCTGGTTTGTGTGTATTATTATTTCCTCAATAAATAAATGACAAAGTACAATATTTATGTCTCATTTCTTTAACTGGGGTGTCTTCATCTACTTTTAGGACTTGTGTGAAAATCTGATGTTTTAGGTCCTATTTATGCAGAAATATAGACAATTCAAAAGGCTTCACAAACCTTCAAGCACCGCTGTGACCACCTGCAGAAACACAGATCAGGACCAACGTCAGGTCTGGATTGTAGTTTAGATTGTGCTTGCCTGGTTTGTGAGTACATGCTCCATATTTTTACTGGCTCCCTCCAGTCTGCACACCAATAATTTCAACAAGAACAACCACCGTTCAACATTTTAATGCACTTATACTCTAATATATTTTATTAGTCCCACTGTGTTTCAAGTGTTTGACTAAATTCAACACAGCTGGATAGAAACAGTCTGTTAGTAGCACTGCAGGTTTCAGTCACTGTGCTGAATAAATGCTCTCCACTGCTTTTCTTTTGGGCCGGGCGTCAGCTCCGCTTACCTGCACCCTCACCCGTTTAGCTCAGTCTTACAGGAAAATATTTCCATTGCAGTGAACCTCCCAGTATAATCGGTTCATATTGCTTAAGGCTGTTCAGATAACGTGCCTGAGCCTGGCAGAGAGCTCAGAGACCACAGAGCTGCCAGTACAGGGAGAAGCTGGGAATATGCTGAATACATTTGTTGCTTTGTGTTTAGAAATCAAATTAAATCTTTGGTGGGTTTGCTAATACAGATTAAACCTCCTCATTTTTACACAAATGTGATTTCAGGACGCAGACTCGTCATCAAAAACCGCAACCAAACCATCCCTATAGTTAATCGTTTCCACTGTAAGAGGGATATGTTAGTAAAAACAACTCTTTGTTGTGCTTGAGTGGAAATCCCGGGGGATCAGGTCTGAATACCCCCAATTTGGGAAAAATGAAGATGGACAATAAATCATGATAAAAAATATAATTTTAAGCAATATAAAGAAACATCAAGGTTCACACTCATCCAGGTAATAAATCCAACAAAGTTAAGTCAGGTCCTCTGGATGGTTTCTTTGTGTTGAAACATTTCGTCTTTCATCCAAAGGACTTCATCAGTCCGACGAGCCACAACAAACTCGGTCCCACAAGCAGCACACTCACATAGTAGGCCAACCAGTTTAAAGCACACTCACATAGTAGGCCAACCAGTTTAATGTTGATAAGATGGTTTCTGGAGTCCCCCCTCTCCCGTGTCGACTCCCCGTTTAGTGACCTCCACCCCCCAATAATGAGGTGGAAATAGGCCCTTGCCTTCTGGAGCTCTCTAGATTTGTAAATATCTGACTGAGCTGTTCAGTTTTTCAGGGTAAAAGTAGCACATTCTCAGTTTAACATAAAAGAAGGACACAACAATTTAAAAAGATTGCTTTTACTTTTTCTTGTGCACATTTGCAAGATTAAAAACATTTAATGAAGGTGGAGCCGTCGAGCAGCTCAGTGACGATTTTTGTTCGTACGCTTTTGCTACACTTTTTTTGTTTGTTTTAAATTACACATTCAAATAAAACATCTGAATAAAAATCACTGATTGTTTTTTTGTTTGTTTGGTTAATATGCAGTGAGGTCACACTTTTCAATTAATATAACATTTATCTAAAAGTCCATAACCTGCCGACGAGGAAGACAAATCATTCGTCACAAAGCGTCTTTGATGAGCAGAGAGAGTCTTCTGAAAGCCTGTAGAGTTACAAAGACTACCGTCAGTCCTGAGCTGGATGAGTTTGTCTGTACGTGCTTTTGCTTTAATGTTTGTGCACGCACCTCGTCGATCTGCTCTGGTGTGGCCTGGGAAAAGGCTGCTCTGACGTATGGACACGGCTCGCTGCTGTCGATCATAAAGACACCTCCGGGAACCAACAGCACCTTCAATGCACACAAACACAACTTCACACACTAAACCGCAGCCTTACAGGACTAATAATTATCAGATAAGGATCGGTATCCAGCATCAGCACTGAAGTATAGTTTTATTTATCTTCGTGAAATGTGTGATCATTTGTATTAAAAGTTTTCATAGTATAAATTCACATGTTAAAACAAGGTGGATCCTTTGAGTTTGGGTTTTGTTTACAGTAGGGAGGAGTTTTAGATACACGCCTGCACTCGTCAACATACAAGACACTAGTGTTTGAATCACGTTTCAAAGATGAGCCATCACTGGTTGAGACGCTGGTCACATGATAAGGGATGTCCTATCAGCGGAGATGACAACCTCAGTGTGACCAGGTTTTGAAGAAAAGGTGATGCATTTGAAGGAGCTGGGGATGAGGTGCACATTATAGACACCTGATGGTCCAGCGGGCTTGTGGTTTTTTTAACTTAAGTGTATGAAGAATAAACCTGCAAGACTGAGCAAACGCTTGAATCTCATAAGAATGGAGTAGATGTCTGGTTGGGAGTATATATCGTTCTAAAGCATCAATGGCACCTTTCCAGATGTGCAAGCTGCCCATGCCATCGGCACTAATGCAACCCCATACCATCAGAGAGACAGGCTTGTCAACTGTGTGCTGATAACATCCAGTACTGAATTTTGGACTTGTCCTTTGTGCACAGAGGTTTCTCCAATATCTTGCAATCTTTAAATGACGGGATATTCAAACTCTTCTCAATTTTCTGTTGAGGAACATTATTTTGAAATTGTTCTATCAATTTTAGACAGTTTTAGTTCCGATTTGTACATCTCTGCCCATTTTTACTTGTTAAGAGATTCAGCCTTTCTAAAAATCACCTTTTTATACCCAGTTCTCTTACTGACCTGTACCCAGTTAACCTGATTTGTTGCAAAATGCTTCTTCAACAACAACAAAAATGGTTAAATCATGTCATCTGGACCTGTTTCTTTAAGTGAAGAAACGTTTCGTCCTCCATCTAGAGGACTTCGTCAGTCTGCGGCCTGCAAAACCAGATCTGTCCATAATTTTTTTCTGAACCACTTTGGTCTTGGTTGGTTACAGGCTGTTTCTGTGAGTAGCAAGTTGGCCACGTGGCCTAAAACATTTGATTGTTGTACATGATGATAAATGGTGATGAATGGTTTTGGATGGGTGTGCTCTGTTTGCATGTGTTACAAGTCTACTTCTGAGATTCCAACAGGAGATTGGCTTGAAACACAGCGGTGAAGGTTACCTATGGGACAGATCTGGTTGGCAGGCTGCAGACTGACGAAGTCCTCTGGATGGGGGACGAAACGTTTCTTCACTAAAGAAACAGGTCCAGATGACATGATTTAAACTTCTTTTGTTGTTATCTACCTGGATGATTGAGCTTACAACTCTGCTTCTTCAACTGTTTCTTTTTTGTCGTACCACTTTCTTTTAAAGCCTTTTGTTGCTCCTGTCCCAACATTTTTAAGATGAGTTGCTGCCATCAAGTTCAAAATTATTACTTTTTGGATCTAAAATGGCATAATTTCTTGGGCTAGACATGTGATATGTTTACTGTGTTCTATTGTGAATAAAATATAGGTTTATAAGATTTGCAAATCGTTGTACAGTAGTCCATCGTTTTTCACAGGGGATCTGTACCCTGAAGCCCTGCGATAAGTGAAAAACTGCAAAGTAGGAATAGTAGTACAAGTAGTAAGTAGTAGTTCATATATAAATGTGTGTGTTTTTACATGTACTGAACAAAAAGTTTCTTTCTTAGGATTCAATCTTTTATCTTGATGTGTGTGCGAAAAGTTCTGAATCACACCAAGTGGGCGTTTATCAGGAAACTTTTTCGTTCAGACACAATCTCCTGAATGTTCTGACCTGTCATCGCTGATAAGATTTTGTTCATGTGAACTTGACCTGTTGTTTTCGTGTTCCACTTTTATCTCAATAAATAGTGGACTCACACAGCAAAGCTTCGGAGTTCACACTGACCCACAAATCAGGTGACTCCCCCTTTGCAAAGGATCTGAGCGCTAAAACTCATCTCGTTGTCTTGTGTGAATTATTTATTTCCTTATAGGTCAGACAAAAATACCCAACAATATTATATATATATATATATATATATATATATATATATATATATATATTTGGCCATCTGCAAGCACTCTTGGCCACGCCCACTTCTCCACTCTGCACAGAGAACAGCTGATCAGCTGCAGCAGGAAGTTTATCCTGCAGTATGGGCTGCACAAAGGTGTAGGAGGTGCTAAATTATTGTAAATAATTTATTTTAAATAAAAAGTCCATGCCGACCGTGTGGTTCATCCATCAATCAGCCAGATGTGTATCGTGTCCACTCTTATTTTGAAAAATTGCGATAGAGCGAATCCGTGATGAACGAACCGCAAAGTAGCGAGGGACTACTGTACTCTGTTTTTTGGGGGGATTTTTACACAACGTTCCCACTTTTTCAGAGTTGGGGTTATACAGAACAGCGTTTAATATTTGCGGTGTGAAGGCTTTAGGCACTCTTGAGACAAGTCTTCTGTGGTTTAACAAGGCCAGTCAGCCATTCTTCAGCAGGATTTTGCAAATCCTCTGTGTGTAGGAGGGACAGCTCGCAGGGTGAACACTGGCGGCTTCACATGCACCATCCTGCACTCTGCTCAGCGACAAAACCTTCCTCTGCTCTGGTGCAACACATTTTCCACACACAAAGAAATACCTCTCAGGTTCCTTCAGAATATGAGTGCATCAGGTAGGTGGTCTGAGTTAATCCTATATGAGGTTTTAATAAGAACAAGACGTTGTGTGTTCCGGTGTGTGCTAACCTCTTTCTCCAAAGCTTTCTCCATAATGAGCTGCTGGGTGTCAGCTATGCCCTTCAGTTTCATCCACAGGAACATACCTGCTGACGGAGCGTGCCACTCGGCCACGTCTGCACACAAATAAGAAGCAAAAAGAGCCTCAGTGCGTCCTTTCTGGTTATTATAAATGCATGTCTTCCTCTACAATAAACTTGAAATAATGAACCTTTATATGAGCGTGTCAGATTTCTCCACGCCTTTGAGCGAACTGCTGAAACATGACTGTTAGTTATGAAGAACGATGTGGGGAAGACATCTAGGCCGACGCTTTGAGAACATATTTAGCAGGCGATTAGATGAACCACTCGAGAAAGACTCGACCAATCAGATCAACAAACCAGAAACAGTGGAGAAAGGCGAAGAAATCAGTTTTTGTTAAAGCTTGGAACGAAGTATCAGTGAGTGGTGAGCTGAAATATAACTGATGTTAAAACAGCGACTACAGCTAAAACCAACCCAGGGCTGCCAGCATAAGATCCTGATCGGACCACACTGCTTTGTCTTGGTAATGGAAAACCTGGAAACATAATAAAGAGATAGTTCAGACTTTTTAATGTGCGTTTTATTTTTTTATAGAGACACTGGAGGTATTTTAAGATGACAGCAATCGTCTTTGGTCTCGTCTCTGCTCAGACTAGCCAGAACTAAACTGTCTCTCCGGGGTGTAATGGTACATATATCTGTATCGATTCATCTCAGTACAGACGTTTGGTACGTGTACCATGAATACATTAGTCACAGACTAATGACTAAAGTCGCAGACTTTTTCAACAGACACTTCACACTTCTGCTATTATTAAGAACAAAGGAAGTTTTTCGGATGAAAGATGAATCGTTTCTACAATTTTTTTTGTTTTGCTTTGTTTTTGAATGTCTAGAGGACCATATTTAACTTTTTTAGATTTTCACCAAGATCTTGCACTGATGACTAGGCACTAGGCATGATACTGCATCACTTCACCCGCCTCTCTTCTTACCCTGATGCGCCCATCACTCTGGAACAGGGTCAATCTGGACTCATCAGACCACATAACCTTCCATTGCTCCAGAGTCCAATCTTTATGCTCCCTAGCGAATTGAAGCCTTTTTTTCTGGTTAGCCTCACTGATTAGTGGTTTTCTTAAGGCTACACAGCTGTTCAGTCCCAATCCCTTGAGTTCCCTTCACAATGTTCATGTGGAAATGCTCTTACTTTCACTATTAAACATAGTCCTGAGTGCTACTGTTGTTTTTCTTTGATTTGATGTCAACAAACATTTAAATGATTGCCAATCACGATCATTCAGGATTTTTTCCGGCCACATTTCTCCCTCCAAGATGATGGGTCCCCACCATCCTTCCAGTTTTTAATAATGCGTTGGACAGTTCTGAACCCAATTTTAGTAGTTTCTTCAATCTCCTTAGATGTTTTCTCTGCTTGTTGCCAATGATTTGACCCTTCTCAAACAGACTGACATCTTTTCCACGACCACGTGATGTGTCTTTCAACATGGTTGTTTAAGAAATGAGAAGCAACTCATTGCACCAGTTGGGGTTAAATAACTTGTTGCCAGATGAAAGATAATCACCCATGTAGTAATTATCCAATAGGAGGCTCGTACCTATTTGCTTAGTTAAATTCAGGTGGCAACTTTTTTTTTGGCCAGGCAGTGTATGTTTTTAGTCAAATATCTCCATGTGGATGCACCGTATTTTTCGAACTATATGGTGCACTTAAAATCCTTTAATTTTCTCAAAAATCAACAGTGAGCCTTATAATCCGGTGCATCTTATGTATTAATTCTGGTTGTGCTTACTGATCTCGATCCGATTTTATGTGATACACTGCGCTCAAAAATCTGTCAAAATGTTTTAGTTTCGCTTAATGAGCCTTATAATCCGGTGCGCCTTATAGTCCGAAAAATATGATAATGTGTTCATCAAGGCAACATTAAACACAACATAAAACATCTGAATATCCCTATGCAACAACCTCATGTCACTATCAGCACATTTTCATTCACTGAGCTGATCATTGTTCTTCAAAGTCACTTTAAAGGGGTAAACACTTATGTAGTCACTTATTTACATTACATATTTTTTAAGCAACATTACTTTGTATACATTTGATTTTCTTTTGTCTTTAAAGATGGAGTTTTTTGTCAAAATAGACAATTTGCATTGATCTTGACTGATTTTGTAACAGAAATAAAAGGTACTGTAGAAGTTTACTGACAAAATAAATAAAAAATAAAATATATTTATATATATATATTTCTAACAATACACACACACACAGGTGCATGTGTATATATAGCTTACTGAGTGTTTAATTTTTCTGTAGGTGGCACAGTGGAGCAGTGGTTAGGGTTCACAGCACAAAAAAAGTCACAGGTCACCTCCCAGTCTTTCTGGATGGAGTTTGCATGTTCTCCCCGTGCATGACTAGGTTTCCTCCCACAGACTAAAACATGCATGTTAGGCTGATTGGTAACTCTAAATTGTCTCTAGGTGTGAGTGAGAAAGTGAATGGTTGTTTGTCTCGTTTGTCTCTATGTGGCCCTGTGATGGACTTGCGACCCATCCATGGTGTACCCCGCCCCTCGCACAGTGATTGCTGGACATGGGCACCAGCGACCCCCGTGACCCAAAATGGAATAAGCGGGTAAAGATAATGGATGGATGGATGGATGGACTAAAACATGCATGTTAGACTGATTGGTAACTAAATTGTTCCTGGATGTGAGTGAGAGACTGAATGGTTGTTTGTCTCCATGTGTCCCTGTGATGGACATATGACCTGTCCAGGTTGTCCCCTGCCTCTTGCACAGTGACTGCTGCAGAAAGACTCCTCGTGATCCGAATAAGAAAAAGCAGGGTAAAGAAACTGGATGGATGGGTTGTTATTCTGTGTCAGCTCACTAACCTTTGAGCCACTTGTCTGCGGAGCTGATCATCGCGTCTCGCTGTGTCCGGTAAAACTCAATCACCCTGTGAGGAGAGAGGGAACAAATGCATCAGGAGTTACAACTGGAGGCATCATATTAACTGGACTCGATCCTGTCCCAGACAAGCCAGTCATGCAGGAAGGGTGGTACCTGTCTATGTGCTGGAGGAAACCCTCTGGTCCCCAGGTGTGCAGCAGCTGAGACACCAAGAGCTGAAAGCAAGCAGAAGTTAGGATGGGACCAAATTATTTAAAATTTCTGTGAAATCAACCTTTAAACCCTTTTTTGATGTTACATTGTGTCATTACAGCAAAACTTTTTATATGATCGCTTCAGCCTCTTCACGATTGTTTGTGCTCAAGAAAAGACTACATGTGTTTTTGCACCAGCAGGCATGTGTTTGAAATGTGTTATGAGTCACTATCGCTGTTGTTTTAGAGGACTTAGGCTGCAGATCTTTTCTAATTAGTCCTCGGTTCTGAACGACACCTCCTCAGCAGCTTTTTTCCAGCTGTGTTTGTGTGGTGTCGTGTGAGCGCCCACTGCTTATCTCTGTTGAAGTTGTTTATTTCTGCCTGAAAGGTGGAACAAGGGTAGACTTATACTTCACCGGAAGTGCAGAAATAGTTTCTCGCTGATGTGACTGTGTGATAAAAATGGCAATTTTTTGTTTTTGTACAGCCCTAGAGAGTCTGTTGTGTGCACAACCCCTTGACAGAACTATATTCTTGCAGGGCGGGAATACCACTTTTTCCTTTTTGGGTCACGGGCATCACTGGTGCCCATATCCAGCAGACACTGTGCAAGAGGCGGGGGACACTCTGGACAGGTCTCCAGTCCATCACAGGGACACATAGAGACAAACGAGACAAACAACCATTCACTCGGTCACTCACACTTAGGGACAATTTAGAGTTACCAATCAGTCTAACATGCATGTTTTTGGTCTGTGGGAGGAAACCGGAGTACTCGGGGAAAACTCACACATGCATGTAGAGAACATGAGAACTCCACCCAGAAAGGTTCACGGTCGGGATCCGATCCATGCGCCAAGTATTGTCCGATTGGTCAGAACATTGTGGATATGTTTATTTATGAAGAATAGTGCATGTTGTCATTTCATTTCCACTGCTCTGCTTCCCGAAGACATCAGTTGTGTTAGCAAGATGATAGCTTTGAGGAGAGACTGTCAGGAACAACCATCCTTATAACTGATCTAGCAAAGAATTTAAAGATGGTCGGGTGAACGTGCCACCTACATACACGTCTTTTTTTCCATCTCTGTGGTTAACAAGAGGAATACAAGATCTTCCTCCTCCTCATCATCCAACATGTTCTTCTCTTCCTCCAAATCCAACATAATCAATTAAGAACATAATCCCCTGTCGATCACACTGCTGCTGTGTTGTTTGTTTAAATGGTTTGCGTGCAATGTGTGCTGCAATGGGAGGACTTCTCCCCCACAGTGTCTCTTTGAGCATTAAATGTTCATGGTAATACAGACCGTCTCACAACCATGTCACCAAGGTCAGATGTCTTGCATCTAGGGGTGCACGATATTATCAGCATGGTATCTATATCAGCCGAAATTAGCTAGAAAGTTAAATTCCGGACATTCCAACAAAATAACTCACCGATATAAAAGGTATATATATATATACATATATATATATATATATATATACATATATATATATATACATATATATATATATATATATACATACATACATACGCACGCACGCACGCACGCACGCACGCACGCACGCACGCACGCACGCACACATACATACATATATATATATATACATACATATATACATATATATAGAGAGAGATATATATGAATATGGCACTGTTTTTATATGGCCAGTGACAAGGATGCTTGCAGCGCCAGCACGTTATGGTGTCGTGTGTGCCTACCTGATCTGATCACGGCGGTGTGGACGTTTTTTAAAGTGTCGGAAACTGATAGCAGAACTGCTATTTGCAATGACTGCTCATCATCAGTGGTGCGAGGAGGAACGAAAACAAAGTCCAACAAACACCACCATTCCGACCATTATTTCTTCTGTTTTAAGTTATTTTTTAATTTAAGAAACTGTCAAGTACTGTATATCTATTAACACACGACTACTTACGCACTTTTCACTTGTCGTTTGTGAACAGTTTGAGTTTAGATTGTGAAAATTTACAAGTTTGCACTGTTGGAGTGTTGTCATTGTGTTAGAGAGTAAATGTCATGAATAAATTTGACAATAAACACAATACAAGTTGAAGTGTTGCATCATTTTCATTCCCATTTTTGACATCTGCATTTGGTAGAAGGCCAAACTGACAAAGACCATGCAGGATAATGTAGTATTTTAATTCCACAGCAGAGAAATCTATGTAGTCTCTGTAAGTAGGTCTAGGAAAAAAGTATCGGTATTGATATCAGTTATCAGCCAAATAAGTTTTAACATATTGACATATCGGATATCGGCCAAAAATCCAATATCGTGTCTCCCTGCTTGCATCTTGTGAGTTATAATTCACCTTAAGTCTGGAACGATTCTGTTCAGATTTTCCAATTTTGTAAAACCTCTGTAGAATAAGGTGCTGGGCTCTTTGACTCCAGCAGCACAGATTGTATGGTGCTATTCTATCCCTGCAAAAAGCTTCTTTCTTTAGTAAAAAAACACAAGATTGCAATTTATTCTACAAACAAATTGTTTTCCATCAATTATTCAGAAGAATCTGACCCCATCAAAAAGAAACTGCTCTTAAAGTGACGTAAAACATTAATCTGAGGAAACAGAAAAGCTGAGGAGAGAAATGAAGGCTTGTCTCACTTGGGTGAAGGTGCTGGTGTGCATCGTGGAGGCCTGGATGTGCAGCACAACCCTGTCCACCAGAGGCTTGGGACCGGTCACGAAACCTATCCTCAGGCTTCAAGAACACACACACACACACACACACACACACAAAATGATCAGCCGAGCACAAAAAAAGTAAAATATTAACTTCAGTCTGATGAGCTGCAGCTCTGCAGATTTAACTCACTGTGGATTTCACACGTGAGATTTCCGTGAAACGGGAAAGTTTAATGAGAAATGCTGAGAACACTCGACACTGACTGTGCCTGACAAAGACAAGTGTGACAACTCGGATCATCCATCACAAGATTTTTTAATTAATTTTACTCCAACATCCAACTGACTGCTTGGAGTTTAATATTTTATGGATCCAACAAACCTCTTAAACACTAAGGTTTCTTAAAAGCACAAAAGTAGCAAATATGTACGAGGTGCCGTTTGTAAAGTTACACAGTCAAAAATTAACAGCAATATTTTGTTTTTTTTAGCCTTTCATAAGAAAAAAAAATTCAAAGTCATATTTTCACCTTGTTACTCATACATTTATAAATGTCATAGTTCCAAACTAAACATTTAATTTCCAAGCTAAATATTTAGTTTACAAACTAAATACTTAACTTGCAAGTGAAATATTTAGTTAGTAAACTAAATATTTAAGTGTAAATTAAATATTTAATTTCCAAGCTAAATATTTATTTTCAAAACTAAACATTGAATTTCCAAACTAAATATTTATTGTACAAGCTAAATATTTAATATCCCAACTAAACATGTAATTTCAAATCAAAACATTTAATTCCTAAACTAAATATTTAATTTGCTAACTAAAAACGTAACTCTGACCTAAATATTTTACTCAGACCCAACTATATAGCTTGTAAGTTAAATATTTAGGTCAGAGTTAAAACTTTAGTTAGAAAATTAAATATTTACTTTGGAAATTAAATGTTTAGCTTAGAAATTAAATGTTTAGTTTGGAAATTAGATATGTAGCTTGGACCATAAATATTTAGTTTGGAAATTAACTGCTTAGTTTTGAAAATAAATATTTAGCTTGGAAATTAAATATTTAATTTACACTTAAATATTTAGTTTACTAACTAAATATTTAACTTGCAAGTTAAGTATTTAGTTTGTAAACTAAATATTTAGCTTGTAATTAAATATTTAGTTGGGAACTATGGTATTTACAAATATATGAATAACATGGTGAAAATGACTTTGAAAAAAAAAAACCACAAATATTTTTTCTTATGAAAGGCTAAATAAACCAAAATATTATTTTTAATTTTTGACTGTGTAACTTTACAAAAAGCACTCCATACATGTGAGTATTTCATTATTTGAAATGTGGGAACTTGAGTTTTTACCTTGTTATACAAACTTAGAATTCAGTTTAACTAAGATTTATCACATAAAAACCTGTTTCCAAAAATATGCTGTTTTGGAATTCTTTAAATGCTTTTTCCATGTGGACACAAGGCCATAGCGATAAAAATCTTTTGTGCGTTCACCGAACGCAGACTCCATGTGAACAGCCTTCAAGTATTAAAGACATATTTTGATACAGAGAACGTTCTTTTTGTCTTCTAGAAAACACAGCTCATATGATTACTTTGAATCGAGGCTGTGCGATATTAGGAAAACATTTGATTTTGATATTACTGAAAGCAACAATACTATCTGATCGGCATTAGCTCCCAGCAACTCAGAAAGCAACAAGAGTACAACATACAGTGTATTATACGTCCGTCGGCAAAGGGGCATATTATACAGCATTCTAAAGCAATGGCCCGGACAAGTAAAGACCTTGTTTGACATTTGACCTTGATTTGTGACCTTGACCTTAGAGTTGGAGTGATGAAAAGAGTATGTGACACTGTCTGGAGATCATACAGAGGTGTATGAAGTTTCCATCCATCCATCATCTTTACCTGCTTCTTCCTTTCTGGGTTGTGGGGGGTCACTGGTGTCCAAATCCATCAGTCACTGTGTGAGAGTTGGAGACACCCTGGACAGGTCTCCAGTCCATCACAGGGACACATAGAGACAAATTAGACAAACAACCATTCACTCTCTCACTCACACCTAGGGACAATTTAGAGTTACCAATCAGCCTAACATGCATGTTTTTGGTCTGTGGGAGGAAACCGGAGTACACGGAGAAAACCCACGCATGCACGGAGAGAACATGCAAACTCCATCCAGAAAGGCCCCTGGCTGGGAGTTGACCGGGCGATCTTCTCACTGAGAAGCAACAGTTCTCCCAACTGAGCCATCGTGTCACATTATATGAAGTTTCGTTAAATTATCTTGAGCGCAACAAGAGAAAGTTTACTGAAGAACGGACAGAGAGACTATACGGTAATAAGTCTGACTTTCACCAGGCGTATAAAAAGTGAGTAAAGAAAATGGATGGATGGATAATACGATAATATCTGTTGCAATAAACCCACATTTTCCCCACCCCACCCTTTCTGTTCTTTAGTCATGAAGCTCACAACCTTCAACATGTGGTTGAAAAATAAAACAGCCCACCATTTTCACAGTCCAAGCAGTTCTTTGTGATAATATTGCGATGACGATTAAATTTCAGTTTACAGTAGTCCCTCGATTATCACGGGGTTCCATACACTCCCACTATAGGTGAAAATCCACAAAGTAGGAACGCTATATTTATTTCAGTATTTATATATATATTAAGGCTTTATAAACCGTTTCCACACTCTTGCAATGTTCTAAAATCTTGAACCTACATAATTTTAACAACATACGTACATGTACTGTACAGTACTGCAAAATTTTATATGGATACTCACCAGTTAAGATACTACAACTTGAAGTATGAGTTCAGCTTCAGGATTATTTGCGACTTTCCTGTCAGGTCTGTGATATTAATAGATTGTTACTTCCGACTTTGCGTTGCAAATCTATTTTTTACCACATCGGTTTCTCGGCTAGTGTTTGCTCCCTCCATCGCTGTTCTTTGAATTTCAGCAGAAAGCAACGTCCAGAACCACTGTTGGCTTTTGGGTAGTGTAGTTCTTTTGACTTGCGTTACCGTGTAAGCTTATTGAAAGAAAAGTACATAAAGGTGGCACCTGTCTGAAGTTTTTTGTTTGTTTAGTTTTTGTTTTTTGGTTCCTGCTCTCGCCGGACATGGGCACCGGCGACCCCCATGACCCAAAATGGAAGAAGCGGGTAAAAGATAATGGATGGATTGTTCCTGCTCTCATCCGCTCCCATTAGCTTTTTATTCCGTACCTCCCAATTACGTGAGTAACATTAAATTTGATGATCGTGTGTCGTGTACAATCTTACGTTGAAAACGCACAAAACAGTGAGTCTGCGAACGTCGAACCGCAAAGTATTGAGGGACTACTGTACAGCACTGCTTTACTTCAAAGTAACGGACAGTTACTTAACTTATGATTAAACTAAATATTAGAGCATTTAGATTAAGGTTCAGAAGAATGGTAGCTTTATTTATCTTCTATAAAGAATAAATTTTTTTCTTTGCGGGAAATGAAAGCCCCCAGTCTGTCACAGACGGGTCCAGAGCTGTGGAGGCGCACGAGTTAAACGTGAACTCACACAGACAGGACTCAAGACACTCACCCCGAAGACAGGATCTTAGAGAAGGAGTCTGTCCTGATGATCCTCCCGTCAACATCCATGGACAGAAATGTTGGAGACCACGGCTGACCCAAAAAAAAAAAAACAGGAATAATTTGCTCTTTTTTTGTGATAAACCCATTTCATATCGAAATTCATCTCATTCAGTGATTTGCATACAAACTAAAAGTTCCTGAGGCCAATTCAATGACACGTGTACCTGTTTTTATAGCTTGACATTTGCTTTTATCTGTGTAACTGTTTGTGTTGTATTTGTTGCTGCCTCTTGGCCAGGACTCCCTTGAAAAATAGGTTTTTAATCTCAATATTTTTTTTTGTTTTAATCCTGGTAAAATAAAGGTAAAATAAAATAAAACACATCGTCCAGTCTCACAGGGGGCCGAGCTGTTTGTACCTTATCAAACTGCAGGAAGTAGTACGGGTCGTCCTCGATGATAAGCAAGTCGTACAGCCGGGCCAGCTAAAAGGAATGAGATGTAAGCTCTACTGCTTTTAGAAACAGAAACTGAATATTTTCTATAAAATTCAGAATTCATGAAAAGTTTTTAAAAAAATTGCAGTGTGCGCGTTTCATTCTGACGTGTTTGCGTGACTTTGAAGAGGACTCAAACCTCGTACACGTCCTTCTTCCTCTCCGCCGTCATGGAGGCGCCGGTGGGGTTCCCACCATTTGGAATGGTGTAGAGGACCTTGGGAGCGGTGCTGCCGGGCTTGTGGACTTCTGATGGGTTCCAGCGAGACAGGACCTTTTTCAGAGCTGAGGGGATCATGCCGTACTGATCGCTGGGGACGTTTATTAAGTTGCACCCAAGAGGCTGGAGCTGCAGAGAGGAGCAGCAGCTTGAGCCACAACATGAGTGTGTGTGTTCACAGGCCTGTCATAATAACAAATTTTGCTGGGCGATTAATTTTCTCTGAAATTATTGCGATAAACGATAATATTGTTTGAAATTTGATAATTTTTTTAGATTTGATAATTAGTAATTATTGTCAAATTATTGTCAAATTTAAGAAGAAATGTTGGTTATTCGTTTTGCATGTAGTACCTTTTTTCGACCACCGGATGGCAGTATAAGAGTCTGAACCGAATGATGGATAGTAAGGGAGCGAGCAGCGTGTCTCTAAGAAAAATGAGAGAGAGAGGCCCCTTGACATGACATGGGCTGTTTCTCCTTCATTTTTTTTTTGGTTCTCAAAACGGCGGATGCTCGGTATGGTTTGAGCTCTTTAGCATAGCATTTTTCACACAAAGCTTTTAATAAAAAAATCAGTAAACAAGTTCTCAGCTTTTTTTGCAGAGAAAAACAACTTTTTACACGAAGGCACGGGTTCCAACCAGGAATTTTGGAGCTTCGACAAGACAGAAGTTTTTTCCTGAGGTCTGCCTGTTAGCTTAGCTCGTAGCTTAGCTTCTCGGCTTAGCTACTTTTAACGATCCAAAAACACGATTTTGTACTGTTAAAACAGATTTTAAAGAAAAAAGGAGGGGTCAGTGAAGAGTTAAGCTTTTTGTCATCCAGTGTCTTCAGTAGAAAGAGAGAGACACAGGTCTCTCTTGTAAATGAGTCCTCGAGGCTCAATGGGATTTACCTGTCTAAATAAAGGTTGAATGAACACGAAGAAACGATAAAGCCGATAAATGAAAATGAGGTTGATAATTTTGATTTCTCATGTGATTAATTGATTTATTGTTTACTGCGACAGGCCTATGTGTTTGTGATATACCATGAAGAAAAAGACTCACCGCTGCAAGTGTGCCCGAGTACGTTGGTGCATCCAGGAGAACGTTGTCCCCCGGGTTAACGAGCATCTCAAACACCTACAAACAACAAAAGTCAGTAACACAAAAGTTTCGTAAATAAGTTGGCCGTTAGTACAACAATTGTATTTTTTTTTATTATCAGTGAAACTATGCTGCTGGAATCAGAATCAATTGTTTGCATTCGTGTTTTGGGAGGTGGTGCTGTTACTTTGCAGAGCCCCTCCTGGCTCCCTGTCGTCACACACACGTCCATCTGACCGTTCTCTGGGCTGTAAGTGGCGGTCGGAGGATTGTGGAGGTTCTTCTGCAGGTCCTTCATCCACGTCAGCAGCTCAGGGATTCTACAGAAGAGGAAAAACGGGGTTAATAATCTGCTGTTTCTCTGCTGAAAGCCAATACTGATCAACAGTCAGCTCAAAGGAAAAGAAAACAAGCAAACTTTGCAGAATATTCTCAAATCAACTTTATTTTGATAAATTAACAATATTACAAAAAAGGAAAACAATATATAATACTATTTTGCAAAACAATAACTTACCCAAAAAGGAATAGATTGAAGTCAAGGCTTATACGTACTTGCCTACCCTATTCATAGACTCAGCAGTCTACATAATGAATTAGGGATGCACAATATTATCGGCATGGTATCGTATCAGCCGATATTAGCGTTAAAGTTCAATATCGGACATTGGCCATTTCATCAAAATAACTCACCGATATAAAAGTCGTTGTTTTTTTGTGAGAACCCAGTGACAAGTATGCCTGCAGCGCCAGCACAACGTGATGACGTCACGCACGCCTACTTGATCTGATCATAGTGGAGAGGAAGAAGTCAAAATGTTGGTGGTGTGGAAAGTTTTTTTCTTAGTTGAGAATGTCAGATTTCGAAGATTTATGGACTACGTTGAGCCTCGCTACATCATCCCCAGTCTGAGAAATTTTTCCAACGTAACCTTACCCGAGTTACAAGCCGTCATTTCTGACGTCATTGAGAAGCTAATAGACGATAGCACTTGGGTGAGTTTTACCACAGACATTTGTACGTCGTGTTAGCCCCGTTAGCATGAGTAGTCTTACGGCACAATGGATAGACAAAAACTTTGAACTTAAAAAGTCTGTCCTTCATGCACAGGAGTGCAGAGGATCCCACACTGCAGCTAAGGAACCTGGACAAGCCTCCACAAGTGAGACAGCATCGCAGGTGACTAATGCTAATAACATTTAACACTTTTCATTTAATATAAGTTCATGTGCTATGCATATCATATGACTGTTACTGAATATATGTCACCAGCTCTTACAGCTGTTGCACAATTTATATTTAACTTTACATTATTGTAAATCCAATTACCAGAAAATACTATAAATTTAGTTTTTTTTAATTTTCATTTAAAGATAGCTTATTATAATCAAACCACTTTTTAAATCACCTAGCTGTTTTTCTACTATTTGTATTAGTTCATCCATATTCTTTCCAGAAAAAAAAAAGTTTGTATCACCAGCAAACATTTTAAATTTCAAAATACTGGATATGCAAAAATATCATTTAAATAAAGTAGAAATAATTTAGGTCCTAGAACTGAGCCTTGAGGAATACCACATTTTATAGTTTCAATCTGTGACTTTGTGTTGTTAATTTCTACATATTGTAATCTATTACTCAAATAACTCTTTAACCACTGAGGTGTAAGCCTTATTGTTCACATTTACCCAGTACATCGTCAATATTGTCAAATGCCTTACATCATCATCATCATCATCAACTTTATTTATAAAGCACTTTAACACAGCCATAGCTGAAACATCAGTTAAAAACAAGATAAAAGACAGCATAAAAACAGAACTACAAACCCAAGCACACAACTCAATTTAAAACACAATAAAACAACAAGTTAAACAGATAAAATCAACACCAATAAAATAAAGTAAAATCAAGACTCAGTTGGGTTGAAGGCCAATGAATAGAGGTGAGTTTTTGGATGGGTTTTAAAAATGGACAGCGAGGGGGCCTGTCGAATGTACAAAGGCAGAGTGTTCCATAATTTAGGGGCACTAACAGAGAAGGCCCTGTCTCCTCTAAGCTTCCTCTTACTCTTGGGGATGACCAGGAGCAGCTGGTCAGCAGACCTGAGTGACCGAGGTGGAGTGTAATGGTGGAGAAGCTCTGTTAAATAAGGGGGGGCAAGACTGTTTAAAACCTTAAAAACAAACAAAATAATTTTAAAATGAACTCTAAAATACACGGGCAGCCAGTGAAGAGAAGCCAGGACAGGTGTGATGTGCTGTCTTTTGTGTGTTCCGGTTAAAAGACGTGCAGCAGCATTTTGCACCAGCTGCAGACGTGCGAGTGAGGACTGGCTGACTCCGAGATCGAGAGAATTACAGTAATCCAGCCGTGATGAAATGAAGGCATGGATTACTGTTTCAAACTGTTGCCTTGAAAGAATAGGTTTTACCTTTGCCAATTTTCTCAAATGATAAAAAACAGACTTTACTGTGGCCCTTATTTGACTGTCGAGTTTAAAATCACTGTCCATCTTAAAACCAAGATTTGTAACTGTAGACTTTACGTACATTGTTATGTGGTCTAAGTCGACTGGAGGGCTCAAACAAGCTCCCCTAGGTCCAAAAACAAGTACCTCAGTCTTTTTTTCATTAAAATGCAGGAAGTTTAGGGACATCCAAGCTTTAAGATCCTCGAGACACAATAAAAGAGGTTTAATGGACCAGGCATCAACTCGCCTCAAAGGAACATAGATTTGGCAATCATCAGCAAAGCAGTGAAAGGAGATGCCGTGTTTTCTAAAAATTGATCCTAGAGGAAGCAGATATAAAGAAAAAAGCAAAGGCCCTAAAATTGATCCCTGAGGTATGCCACATGACAAAGGAGCAGAATAGGATTCATGCCCAGCAGTTTTTACAGAGAAAGTTCTGTCAGTCAGATAGGATCCCAACCATAAATTTCAAAATACATAAATCAGTAAGCATGCATTAAGTTTCTGATCAACTACTCCACAAACTCCATCACAGCTAAATATCAGATAAAAGTTAGACAAGCTTTATCAGGGAAAAGTCTAATTTATTCTGATATTCTTGGGTCACTCACCCGTTGGAGGCAGAGTACTGCAGGGCCCTCTTCATCGTCGCCTCGTTGAAGGTCACCGCCTGGCCATTCTTCACCTGGATGGATGCCGACAGGAAGGGGAAGGTGTCCGAGTTGGGTGCTCCACCGGCCAGAGAGATCAGGGAGGGAGGCGAGCGCTGCTGCAGCTCAGCTTCACTCAGAAGACGCGAGAGACATGAAACATTACATGTTAATGTGATGATGCGGATTCCAAAATAATTTTTGTCTTTAAGAATTTAGAGAAATATTTATTGTTTATCATTTTAAAACCTGAATGAGTCTGGGTTTCTTAGGCCTCTGGTGATATATATATTTAAAAAAAAAAATCAAATTTTTGCAGTATTCTTGTAAAAATATTCATTCATGTAATAACCCTTAAATAAACAGGTCTCTTGTAAATGAGTCCTTGTGGCTCAATGAGGCAAACCCGCATTAATAAAGGTTGAATGAATTTAGTTTTTAATCATTTGTGCCGACTATGATTACCTTAAAATACTTTTAAAATGCTGTCACTGAATTTTACTTCTGTAAATTATCCAAATCTATAAATATTTGTAAGCAAAACAGAATAAAGGTTTACTCAAAACAAGACAAACTTTAATATGAGCATCATTTTTCTCGACATCCCCATGAAAGGCAAGTAACATTTAACTTCCTGTCTATGTGACTGTTTTTCTGTCTGTTAGCAAAATATCTCATGAAACACTGGACACATTTTAATAAAAACTCTCAGAAAGTAATCATCAGATGTCCATCTTCAACTGATTAACTTTTAGAGCAAATCCAATACAACGTGAACAACACAACTAATCAACCTTAGCAAACGCAAAAATCGTAATAGCTCGGCTAGTTTCACAGACGACGAGCTAAAATTTGGTGTGGCAGTAGCTGAGAGTCATCCCCACCACATACTCTGAGCCCTTACAGCTCAAACAAGACCCTTGTTCAAAACTGTGCATGCAAGATGGTGAGCGATATGCATTATTTCTAGGAATGCTAGTTTTAGTTTTCAGAAGTAGATTATGAATTAAGCATAGTGAAAGAACAGCAGGTATGCTCAGTTCTGTTTCTTCATGTGGCATCTGGACATCCACATGTGTGTAAAAACACTTAGAACCTGCAGGTTCAGTTCATCTTCTACTTGTGACAGATACTCACTCAGCATCCTGATGGCAGAAGGTTTTCTAGCTCCACTGACTGCTGTCAGAAACCGAGCGTAATTCATGATTCCTGACAAATGACAATAAAAGCATGAGCAATATTAGCTTCCTCTCACTGTAATTTCCCACTTAAAAATAGATAAAGGCAATGTAAGGGTATGTGTTGCGACATTATTTCCTTCGCTTCCACATATCATGTTTAGGCAACAGAGGTAGAAAAATTATGTTAATCGTTCATTAAATTATATGTAAACCGCAATAAAGCCACGCATGACGGATACAAGCGAGGGACACGCAAACAAAAAGGACTAAACTATGTAAACATGAACACACAGTGAGTATTAGACATGTACGGACCACTTTCAGCTGGAGAAACCGACCTTTTGCGTGTGCGGCTCGCTCGTACCGGAGGATTGTGGTCAATGGAGTTCTTGAACTGTAGCGACCAGTCCCTTTTGTAGTGCCCTGAACTACATTACCCGAGCTGACAACTTAAAATAAACACCTCACAGAGCTAGGATAGTGACAGAACTTGGCAGATGTTAAGCCTTACTGGTGACTAATAAGATTATCTTTCGGCCAAGTACGCCCGTTGCTGTTGTTTTCCTTTTTTCTCCATTGAAGTGCAGCACACAACAGGCACGAGAGCTGGTTAGGTGTTGTGCCGAAAATAGCACCCCGGCTGTGAAACGCTAAGCAGTTTCGAGGGCTGTTTGTTCACTAATAATTTGAATAAAAGTCAAAAAAATTAAACGCATCTTACGTTTTCCACTACTTTTTAGGAACACGTTTATCTATATTATTGATTTTGAAAATTATACAGGCATTTGGCAGGCTTGTCTGCTGTGGTGCCTTTTATGGCACAACACCAGTTTGCTTGTTCCGGAAATAACCGGAAAACGTCGACGTGAACGTCCGTGTTGTTAGCTTAGCTTAGCTTAGCTGTCAGTTACGTTTACAATATACGGTTTTGTTTGTTTTTTTGTTTGTTTTTTGCTGACTGCGTAGACATTTTTTTTTTTTTGTCAACGGACGACCTCATTTAAAGTTAAAGCTTTAGTTAACTGTTATTTAATTACCTTAAACAACAGAGCCGAAGCCAGCGGCTAACATCATGTTAAGTAGTGAAATGCATTTTATTTAGCAGGGACTGGAGTGGTTCGGGATCAGTGTGACTGTTTTGATTCGTGTTGACATGTGTTGACTGTCGTTTCAATGGGTAAAAGAAAAGACATGATTCACTCCAAATATCTCGGTGAGTAGTTATAATTCAACATTTGAAGGTAAAATTAATCATGTGCTGAACTACACACACGGTTTTCTACTTGTGATGAACACCCGAGCACTATCTGTTTTCATGAATATAGTCTCCAAAATTACTCTTCAAAAATCACATACAGTTGAATCAGTTCCTCCACGTCTATTGTAAGAAGCAGAGTAATAATAAACTAAATGTGGTTATTTATCTGAGACTGAGGGTCAGAAATAGCAAAAATAAGTGCTGGATTTCATTTGTACATCTCTGGAAGTGGGGGGAAAATGATATAGCTTTTTGCCCCTTTGTCTCTAACAAACCCAATTTATTTATTTCAGTAAACATTTCTAAAAAAAAATGTTTCCATTTCCATCTGTCCCTCTGCAGCTGAAAGCAGCTCCGGCCTGCACAGCATCCACAAGAGGAAACACAAGAAACACAAGAAGCACAAAAAGAAACATCACAGCTTCGCCGAGGCCCCAGAGCCCGAGCCTGTGCCGGTCCCTCGACCTCCACCGCAGCTTCGACTGAAGATCAAACTGGGAGGACAGACGCTGGGCACCAAAAGGTGAGCTGTTTGCACCTGGTTTTAATGTTTATTGATTTGAATACACAGTGAGTTGACCAGCTGTTGTCCGACTCAGCGTTCCCACCTTCACCGTCCATCCTGGAGTGGCTCGTCCTCCCTCACCACTGATGATCATCGATAACGATGTGGATGATGATGATGAAGATGAAGATGATGACGATGAGCCCTCTGTGCCGTTGGAGCAGTATCGAGCCTGGTTGGGTATGTAGGGCTACAGCCATTTTTGAGTTTTGAGCTGCAGACTTTTTCGGACCCAACAGGAGAACATCGAGTTTCACTATTAGAACAAGTTTTAAGAATTAACTTGTTGGTTTTATTTGCAAATATTTCCCACCTGAATGTTCAGAGAATAAATCTAAAGAACTCTATATAAATAAGCCAACCAGATAAAGGACACACTGAGGTCTAGTGTAGATGTGTCTACACTGGATATGTCTTGTTTTATTAGCATCTAAAACACAAAAGGCTTAAACTTAAATCTTTGGTTTTTAATATAAATGTTAAAAACGAAGATATTGTCTCCATTTTTTATTAAAACACTGACATAAAAGACTCATATTGTTAAAGGCTTAAAAGGTCAAAGGTCACAGTATGCACAAGCTATATGTTGCCTCCACTTAATTCAGGGTTTTAAAAACATAGTTGAAACCTCTTGTACAACTACCTTTTTCATTTGTTGACATTGAACTGCCAGCCAGTGGACCTTTTTACAGTTACAGCATGTTCAAAGTCAGTATTTTGCAATGCATTGTGGTCTAGATATATTCATGCCTACTTCCAATTCTTTGATTTCTAATTGACTTATTTGTCACTTGTGTATATTTGTTACTATCACGGTCTATGACCTCTTTATCTGATGAAACATTATTTTTAAGTTTGAGGTTTCATCTCTGCGTTCACTTTTATCAGTGGTTGGTGTTCCAAAATTCAAACATCCGGAACAAACTTCTTCAAAAACGTTTTATTCTGTTTGCCTGTTTACCACAAAGTAAAACTAGGGGTGCACCGATTGCTGTTTTCCGATCACCGATCTCTAAAAAGTCTGACCAGCCGATTCAGATTTTGGCCGATACCGATTTTTGTTTTATAAGTGACACTGTCAGGTGTTATAAAGTCACAATGCATCTTCAGTTTTTCCAATCTTATTTTATTGAAAGACATACCCCTTGAACAATATCCTAGAAACAATACAAACTTGTTTTAACTGGCCATGAGGTAGTGCTCTGAAATATAAATGAAGTTCAGACAATTGTTTAAAATACAAAAAAATTGGTTTCTTGTGTACTGTATTTTCCGCCATACACATCGCTCCGCTCTATAAGTCGCATCAGTCCAAATATGTCTAATAAAGTGGAAAGATCCATAAATACGTCGCTTCGCCGTATGCGTTGCATCTATTATGCGTCACCGCTGACAAACCGGAAATGTGGGCCGGTGTTGTGCCAAAAATCGATTGGCTGTCAAATGGCGGCTGCAAGATTGTGCACGGGAGGACTTTAACAAGAATTTAACAATATTAACACTTAAAAACAATTATTTGTTTGCTCGGCATTATAGTAAAGGTGTGTCTCAGTTTAAGTTTTGCTTAATAAATGCACTTTAATGGTCAAATCAGCTGCATTTCAAAACCCAATTCGCGAAAGCGGGCATGTGCAGAGGGACGAGTCGCTGCACTTTTCTTAGAAATTTAACAAGATAAGCACCTAAAACAATTATTTGTTAGCTCGATTTTATAGTAAAGGTGTGTTTCAGTTAAACTTTTACTTAATAAAAGGACTTTGACGGTCAAATTAGCTGCATTTCGCCGGGGCAGTGCAGCGAAACGAATTGACGTTTGCTCCGAGCGAGCAGAATGAAGGTGGCAGGCTGTGGCAAGCCGACTGTGTCATTAATAGCTACTTTGACCTATTACATGACACAGTGGCATGCCATACTACTCGAGTGTCATCTAGTGGCTGAAAATGGTAGTGTTCAATATTTTCAGACAGAATGAATGAAAACGGTCATATCTCAGCCAAAAATTGGTTTATAAATATGGGGGAAAAATCCATAAATGTGTTGCTTCAGTGTATAAATCATAGGGCATGCAAATTATGTAAAAAAAAAAAAAAAGCAACTTATAGGGTGAAAAATACGGTAAGTATCAGCTTATCTCCCAAAATTAAGGAAATCGGAGCTGATAAATCAACCGGCCGATTTATCGGTGCACCCATATAAAATACCAATACAACACATTTATAAACTTGTACTTAAAAGTCAATAATAATTATAAAAGCATGTGTAAAGGACCAAAACACTGGATTTGACTCCACCTTGAGTACTGGAAGTATCTATGAATTCACCGTAAATCTTCTCTAAAAACACATTTTCTCTTCGGCTTTTAACTTGGCTTATGTCGGCTTTCATTGTTTGTTTTTTTAGTTTTATGATTTTAACTGTTAATGGTTTATACAGTTTTAATAGTGTTTATCAGCGTACAGCACTTTGGCCAATGTTGTTGTTTTTTTTAAAACACTTTACAATAAAGTCGTTTTGTATTCGTATTTTATATTATATATGCACAATGGTATCTTTAAAAATGTCCATTCTGACTATGATATTATAGTCAAAAATTATAGTCACTACTTTTCAAAAAGAGCATAGTTAATATATGTTGGCCATTATTTCCAAATAAAGCAATTGATAAGATAGTTTTCAGGTCAATGTTTAACCTGTATCAGAATAACAAATATGTGTAAAAACAAAGTTGTGACTGTGTGTTGCACGTTAATAAATAATCTCTTTGTTGTCTTTTAGATGAAGACAGTAACCTGGCAGCATCCCCTCTACCAGACCTGGACTCAGACTCCATGCTGGGGGGGGCCTGTGGATGAAGAAGAGAGGTGGCTGGATGCCCTGGAGAAGGGAGAGCTGGATGACAACGGAGAGCTAAAAAAGGAAGTTGATGAGTCTCTGCTCACCACCAGACAGGTGAGAAGACAATGCAAGTGGAGAAATGTGCATGTCTTGTTTTGAAATCACTATAAGCCAAACAAATGATGCTTTAAGAGAACAACAGTCCATCCTGACACGTCTTCAGTAAAATGTTTCTCTTGATGCTTTTGTTGTTCCTCTTCAGAAAGCCCTCCTCCACAAGCAGCAGACTCAGCCTCTGCTCGAGCTGCCCATGGGCTACAAGGAGAAAGAGATGACTGCAGAGATGATGCAGAAGCGGGAGGAGCGGGCCCGTAAGAGACGCCTGCAGGCCGCCAAGAAGGCAGAGGAGAACAAGAACCAGACGATAGAGAGGCTGACAAAAACCAGCAAGGCCAAGATCAAAAGCCTGAAAGATCGGAGGTCCAAGCAGAGCCAGAGCCCCATGGTTCGCTACAGCGACTCGGCTCAGGGAATCGTCATCTCTTTCCCCTCAGGGGTCTCCACTCCAAGACCGGCATCTCTCCGTCCTCCACCGGTGGCTCTGGTGAACTGCGGCGTGAGTGGGTGCTCCAACCTTAAAAAGTACTCTTGCTCTAAGACCGGGGTTCCTCTCTGCAGCCTGGAGTGCTACAAGAGGAACCTGGTGACGGTGCAGAGCGCAGCCTGAAGCTCCGAATCAGACCAGCCCTGTTTAAACTCCATGTGAGCTCGTAAGAGTCAGAAAACTGTCCACTTAAATGGTCTTTCCAGGAATAATCAGTGTGGAGTGACATCTCATCGAAAGGCTCAGCTTATTTGTTGCTGTGTCATTGTTTTTCTGTGCTGCTAGTTCAGACACTTTGAAATGGGGCTCTGTGGAGTAGTTATGAACAATCAATAAGTGACCTGTTGTAGAAAGCTATTAAAAGGACCTCTGTTTGGAGAAACAGCTTATTTCTGACCGGATCGATGAGCCAAAGGCTGGTCAAAACGCAGCTGAAAGCCAAAGTGGATTGCTGTCCTCTTAAAAATAACTCTTCAAAATAAAGTTCATTTAACCAGTACTTTATAATCGTTTAATCCGCCGTCATTTTCACATTACAAAGTTATTTTCAAGGTACTTGATGGTTCTTTGAACCTTCCGGTGCAGCCTGAGGCACTTCCTGGAGGAATATCACATTTTGTTAGAATATCTGTGTAATGTGAAAGTGACAGCACTGTAAAGGTTTCTAAAATAATGTTTGTGTGTACGGCTGGGACGCACTGAAACAAGAGTTGTTGAAAAGTGGCACGGTGGAGCAGTGGTTAGATGTGTCAGCTCAGCGAGGATGTTGCAGGTTTGCCTCCCAGCCTTGATATGCATGTTAGGTTAAATGGTAACTCCAAAATGTCCCTAGTACATATGTATGTATGTACATATATATCTATACACATTAAGAGTGTATATATGTATATATAATTTCTTTATAAATGCTTGTATAGCTTTTCAATATGATCCAAATGGATTTGCTTTCAAAACATTTTTGTTTAAACTGCTCCAATATTAAACATTAAACAAAGTGCTACTTTATAAACCTTCTTTTAGATTGACATGTTTTTTTTTAATAATCTGTTGAACGTCTCAGCAGAAACATAATGAAGCGTTTGCTGCTATTTGCTTCTGCAAATAACCACATAATTCCATGTAAATACCAAGTAATATGAATATAAAAATGTATAAACCGCTGTTGAACGAACAGCTGTGAAAACTTTGATCTTGGAGCAGTTTGTTTTTTAAGATGGCAACAATCCACTTTGGTTTTAGCTGTTTGGTTAGCTTTTAGCTTGTCGATCCAGTGGGCCTTGAACCTCTAAAGTGAGCCTCTTCATTGAGCTATCTGCAACAGTTAAGATATTAATTGTTCTCAACATTTCCACAGAACCCCACCTCTGCCTCTTTAAACAACTCAATTATGTACATCATGCAAAACTCATCTAGTCCAAATGTATTTATGATTTAATAGGCATTTTTGGTTTAACAAAATGTAATGCTTTTACTATATTGAACATTTTTTCATTGAGAAAGTATTTTAGGATCAAGTAAAATACTATGAAACATTAGAAACTGTTGATTTTTAATAAGAATATTGCTCATTGACAAATGAGCCCATTTCCATACAAAACTGTACAATACTTAAATTAGGTGAAGTTTTTGCTTTACTGCATATAAAATGTGAATATATCAATGCACCTTTGTTTGCCATCAGGTCAGAAGTTTATGCAGATTTTTTTTTTTTTTAATTGGTCTACCTTCACAGCACAATATGATTTAATCAGCTGGTCCTACAGGAGAAGAGGTATTCATTTGGCAAACACTTCTGGTGGAAATCAAGGCACGAGAAGGATGTGGGTTGAAGTAGAGTCTGTCTCAAAGCCTTCGTCACGCTTCGCTGTAATCTGCAGAAAATCATCTGGAAAATGGAGGCCTGCGAGGGCAAGGATCGACCACAAAGCACCTTCCTGTTCCATCACCTCGCAGGCAGCTTTAACGTTCTGCACTAGGAAGTAGAGTTTCATTTTCCTGAGAGTACGACTGGAAACCTTCATCTTTGGTGTCCGTTTTGACGGTGCGTCACGTAGCCAAACCGAAGGAGAGCCTGAAGGCCATCTCAACAGGAATTTCTGGCACTGAGTCGTGAAAACACACGTAGAACTCCTGGGGAACTGGCTCCAGCAACATCCGTCTGCATATGAGATCAAAAGATGTCTTTTAAAATAAAGAAAAGGGAAAGTCCTGCAACATTAAAGCTGGAAATCTGGATCAAAACTACTTCAGATTTATCGCCCATGATCCTGATTTAAGTTTTAAATTTACTTAATCTGATGCAATCCCTAAGTTACAAACTGGAACACTTTCAGGGATAAATTATTTTCTCAGGTTCAACTTGTGTCTTTCCTCCCTTTCTACAACTTGCCTGTTTATCAGCAGCTGCTTCAAACGTCAAAAATTTAAAGCTCAAGTGTTTTTTTTTTCCTCCATCAAAACCAGTAGAGACGTACCCTATTACCCAGTAAGTCATGGTGGGGGCGGATTTCTTCTGGTCGGTCCAGTTCTCAGGTTTGCACTGAAACAGAACCCCGTGTTCTTTGACTGGACCCAGACCCCAGCTAGCGTTCTGAGGCCTATCTGCAGCGCGACGGCCCTGCAGGAGACAAAAGGATGAACAGTCACAATTCAGTCAACGGATGGAGTGCAGAAAGGAAAACGGGCGACGTCCCATTTTCTCGCCTGCTGGATTAAACAAAGTGAGCTGCACATTTTCTAAGATCTCAAGACACCAAAGCTCGTATTTCTACATGTGATGCATAATAAATACAAACTAATTATACACCATTATTTGTAAAAAGTGTTAATGTGTAGAGTAGTGTCTCCATCCCCAGCTGCTTCATATTGTGTATTATAGTAGCAGATTAACTTAAATATGAGAAAATGAGTTTAAAATGTACATGTTTGCAGTAATTTTTAGGGTCATGAAAGTTGTTCAGAATCAGCTGTATTACTAAGGTTATTAGAGCTGAGATGTATGGCTCCTTAAAGGGAACCAGATCCTGATGATCTGTTCGCTTCATAGAGCTGATCAATTTTAAACGGCAGTGACATCATCACATGATATATGTGACGACTTACAGTACGTCATCAGGGCCGTACCACGTGTTTCGTAAAACGGGAACCCCCCTCCCCCCCATGAGCCGCTGCACTTCTCCCCTTGGCCTGTTTTTCTTCGTCTCAGTGAAAAAGTGAAGGATGAGCATTTGTCTCTGTGGTTGAGGAGGAAAACAAAGAAATTAAAAAGAAGGAAAAAATGAAGTAAAAATAACAATGGCTCTTTACTGTCTGTAACTTATTGGCTCTTTTTGTTTGTTGTAAAAAGATGTTCAAATGATCTGGATCCTTCAAGAACGTCACATCTCTAAATGTTATACACTCTTAGTTTTAAGATTAACAGATATTTTTACAACCCTAATAACCCCCATCCTCAATTCTCATCAGCTTTACTATTTGACCAACCCAGAATTTTTGAGGCCAATATCAATATTGATGTCCCATGATTTAAAAAAAAAAGGCTAGCACCTATTTTAACAGTTTAAGGCATGATCCAGCAGTATCCGGCTCGAAGGACCAAAATGTTGGATAAAAATATCCTCTATTTAATTTCGTTAAATAAAAGAACCACACTCCATGGCAGGAGAAGATTTTTTTTTAACCCAGTTTACTTGCAAGGGCAGAGTTCACCACAGGCTTACACAGATGTTTCATTGGAGCCCCGGTCATGAAGATCTGTGCCGGACAGTATACGAGAAGTGTTTTTTATAATGCTTATCAACTACTACAGGTCATGACGGCCTCAGCTCCCCAGCTCACAGACAGTCCTTGAATTGATCAGGTGTCTGCAGACTCCTCTCTGAGAGGAAAACGACTTTCTGAACTCACACGCATGGTTCAACAATAATTTAACATTAGCAGTGATTTAAACCTTTACCAGAATTCCCCAGACATTTTGATGCAACTCCACTTTCTCAAACAGTAGTACCACTGGTGATACTCAGAATCCTTCTAGTGGTATCAACTTGGTGTACCAACATTTTACAAGTTAAATAAGGTAAACCAACATAATCCAACATGTGATGTAAAGCTCAAGAGCAGCGTGAGCCAAAAAAGACGTGGGGTTAAAGAAAATAAAGATCTTGTCTCCAACTGGAAACTCATTAAACCAGAAGTCTGTCATAATGGTGGCACTTGAAGATCTTGGTGTTCTAGGAAATTATAATTGTTTAAAACATTTGAGAATCACTGCTGAATTATTTGACATTTAATTACTGCTATTTCAACCTTTGAATTCCTTGAAGTGTACTTTTAAAAGATCATACCTAAACCTTTTCATCATCATCTGGAATGTTTAAAACCCTTTGATGTGATGCAAATGTGCACAGTTCAGAGATTGCTTCATCCACAAAGAAACTGACAACAACTTTCTAACTATTTTAAACAAAATAAGAGATGTAAAGAGTCAAAACTGCATCGACTTCAGCTCCTGAAGCCATAAAACGTGTGAGGAAGTGATTCCACGTTTTGCTTTTTGATATAACCTCATTCTAGCTGTGTGACCAAAGCTGAAACTTTCATTTGGGCGTGGTTAGACGGTCTCACCCTGGCCGGCAGACACTGCTGGAAGGCGGCTCGTATGGACAGGCAGCAGTGGTGGAAGTTGCGGATGAGCTGCGGGTGGATGGAGCCGCTGAGCTGAGCCACTTCTCTGTGAGTCGGAGCGATGAAGATCCCCTGCACCGTTTCCATCAGCACAAAGTGAAACAAGGTGTTTTCTGCACCTGACGTCAATCTGCCACAGAGAAAAAAATGTTATTCTGCTCGTAACTTTAAAAGAAACCGACTGTTCTGTTACGTACTTCAAGTTGTTGTACATCTCCTCTGTTTCCCTCTCTGTCAGGGTCTTCTTCAGGGTCCCCAGATAGAACGGGTTTGGGTGTTTCAACCTGGGTGTCTGGAAAACAATCATATTAAAATAAAACAACACTTTGTTGTTTTATTCCTTTTAAGGTTCAGTATTATGAATATTGTTAGAATTAGATGGTTAGAAGATTCATCAAATAATGTCAGAGCAGAGGTAAATATTTCTGAAAACCCGTCAGTTAATACATTACAGAGTATTAAGTCATCCCTGATTTCATTACTTGTGTTTTCAAGGAGTCAGACTTTATTATAATCTCTTAAAGTGGTTTTGAACAACAAATAATAATAATAATAATAATTCTCCAGGCTTATAGAGAAAAAAGCAGTGTGTATACTGTATTTTTTGTTATGTTCTTGTTTTATATTGACATTGGCTGCTTTTTCACTTACTCTCTATCCAAGTCTGTATCTGATTAAAACAACAACATGTGCAGTTTGTGCTTAAAAAATGGAAAAAGGACAAGACTTGCTCAACACAGTACATATGTTTAAAGTGAGAAAGGATGGGCTCTACCTTATAGAGGCCTCCGCTGCCTCCACTCCCATCAGACCCCAGAGAGTTTCGTCTCCCCACGAGCTTCCTTGCTGAGTCCGGAGTAGAATGAGGACTGAGGCCTGAAGGTCCTGACCCGGCATCAGTCTGCCCCTCGCTCCCACTGTCCGACAAGCTCCTCTGTGGGCTGGACCGGCGGGACTTCTCACCGAAAAGACTGCGTCCTCTGTACCCCGGCGAGGGGCCTCTAAAAGCTCCAGTGAGTTTGTTGAGGATGGGGGAGGAGGAAGCCAGGCCATCGAGCCGGTCGCGAGTCGTAGCAGCAGGGAGGAACCAGTCAGCACACGACAGGCAGGGAGCAGGTGGGGCGCTCAGACGCTCCTCGATGCCTGCCTCCAACACCTCCAACTGCAACAAGGTGGCTTTCACCTGCAATCAGAACATGAACTCTTCCTCTGTCCTACCAAACAACGTGCACAAAATGACTGGATTTTATTCTAAATCCCACCTGGTCGACGTAAACACAGTCAGGTCCTGGAGAGCCCAGAGCTGGGGAAGCACAGCCACCTGCTTCCAACAGGACACACTGCATAAAGCGTCGCTGAGGGGGAGGCAAAACAGAGCACAAAAGAGGTTGTAAATAAGCACATCTTGTGGAAAAACTTCAAGCGTTCAAATGGACGGTGAGAATAATAATGGAGACTTGGAAGTGCTCGTCTCATTGGTACGGCAGCAAACAGAGGACTGAAATAAAAACAAAAAAATAACCCGTACAAGACTGAACATGATGGACATGCCTGTCTTTATCATGCTAACTTCTTTGATACTTATATATTTTAGAAACTTTATAGAATTTTAAGAAAGAGTGATGACAACAACGACAACAATAGACAATCATAAAGGATGCATACAATTTTTTTTTTTTTTAACAATAATATATAAGGTAAAGAGTATTGGTCCAAGCACTGAACCCTGAGGAACTCCATGACTAATTTTGATCTATGAAGAAGATTCATTATTAACATTTACAAATTGGAATATATCAGATAAATATGATTTAAACTAATTTAGGCCGTTCCTGTAATCCCAGTATCATATTTCAAGCCTCTGTAGTAAAATATTGTGATCAACTGTATAAAATGCAGCACTGAGGTCTAACAGGACCAGTGTAGACACAAGTCCATTGTCTGAGGCCATGAGAATATCATTAATGACTTTCACCAGTGCTGTTTCTGTGCTATGTGAGCTCTAAACCCTGACTGAAACTCTTCAAACAGATTATTTCTTTGTAGATGTTCACACAACTGACCTGCAACTATTTTCTCTAGAATTTTTGAGATGAAAGTTAGATTAGATATACGTTTTTAATTGACTAGGATTCCTGAGTCAAGGTTATGTTTCTTAAGTAAAGGTTTAATTACAGCAATCTTAAAGCTCTGTGGTACATAATAATATTCATTAGAGACAAATTAAGCAGATCCAAAATGTGGCTATTAATTAAGGGAAATACGTCTTTAAACAGTCTGGTTAGGATGGGATCTAGCAGGCATGTGAATGGTTTGGATGAAGCTATTATTTTAGACAATTCAGAGAGCTCAACAGGACAAAAACAGTCCAAACATAAATCAGGTTCTAGTAACATTTTCCAAGTTGCCTCATCTGACATGGAACCAGAGGTGAAAGTATGAAGGACGGTTTGAATTTTCTCCCTAATGAAATAATTTTATTTATAAAGAATCTAATTATAGGGGGTCGAGATGGTGTAGAGGCAGGGCAGCCGGCTTGGGACCCAAAAGTCCCAGGTTTGATCCCCGGTCACTGCATACCTCATGGTGTCTCTGGGCAGCACATCCTATCCCCAAAATGCCACCAGGATGCTTTCAATAGCTGCCCACTGCACCACCTGGTGGTGGATGGGTTAAATGCAGAGACTAATTTTGCCATTGTATGGAAACATACAGTGATGACATTATTATTATTATAAAGAAAGGGAGTGGTGGTGCAGAGGTTAGAGAAGGTGGGCCTGTGATCGGAAGATCGCTGGTTCAACTCCCGGTACCAACAACATCAAAATGTGGGTGGGATAGGTGAAGCACCCACACCTGCCTCCACCCTCCTTTGCCTCTGGGCCCTTGATCAAGGCCCTTAACCCCACATCTGCTCCCCTGGGCATCCTATAGCAGCTCTCTACTTTAGACAACACAGGGGGCTGTGGTAGCTTGGTGGTCTTTGGTTGTGTCAGGAGGGCATCCGGTGTAAAAACAAGTGCCAAGTCTTCAAGTAACTCAGGTCGCTGTGGCGACCCCTAAAGAAGGGAGAAACCCAAAGAAAAAGAAAAAAAATCTCATGAAGTCTTCACTGTTTATAGTTGTAGGGATACATGGTTCAACATTAAAGTTGTTTTATATTTTTTTTAAATAAGGGGCAAATATTATAAGAATTTTTTTTCTTCTCTCTGCACCCTTTTTATTCAGTGTTTTTTTTCTTTTTAATTAATTTGTTTTATTTTAAATGAATGAATAAATGAATTCAATAAATAAATATAGTTACAAAGCTATACATAATTAAGTTATAGTAGTTATAGTATATTTATAGTAGTATATATAGTTTATTAAGTTATAATAGAAGAAAGTAAGCAAATCTTGTTGTTTTAGGGCATATTTATCAAATCCAAGGCCAAATTGGGTCCTTGTTAACATCTAGCCCCAAAAATGATATTTTGAATGTAAAATATTTTTATGGCTTCTTATTTTGATTTTTTTTTTAAATGAGCATACTTCATTTAGTACAAAGTCTCCGTGACTGTTGAACAACTTTAGATTAAAAAAAGTTATTTTTCAGTAATGAATGAAAGGTTGAATGAAAATTTTTTTTTATTTTGATGAAGAAAGATCAACAGATTCAAGTTAGATCATAGATCTAATTTGATGTCTTCTACTTACTAATTACTAACTAATTAGTAATAGTAGTAGTAACTTGTCTGTATTTCATAATGATAGTCATTTAGTTCTTATCTTTACCTCTTTGTGATCTATGTATTTTATCCTGTGTCCTTCACTTGTTTTGTTTCTGTACAGCACTTTGGCTGGCCTTGTTGCTGTTTAACTGCTTTATAAATCAAGGATTCAAGGAAGGTTCTTTATTGTCATTCACATCACATGTGGTACATGAGGTGGAACAAAATTCTGTACACACGGTCCCAGTTACATCCAACAATAGCACAAATATAAAGTGTAAAAAGAAACAGTAAATAAGGATCTAAGATATAAACTGATATACGCTAAACGAATGCCCAGTGGCATGCTAAACGATCTAAGATATACACTAAACAGTAATAATGTAAGACAATACACTTAACAACAGCAGCCCAATTCTCAGGTTCCGTTCGGCTATAATTTACACGCTTAATGCGAGCACTAACATAAACTAAACTAACATAAACTGGGATTTATTCAAAGCATGCAACAAAAATACAGAAACAAGGCGCCAAAAGTGAAAAAGAAATCTATGGTCCTATTAGCAGAGTGGTTCTGATAGTGAGGTTATCTTAGCAACATGGTCCAGTTAGCAGAATGGTACTGTTAGCGGTGTGGTTCGGTTAGCGGCATGGTGTTGTTAGCAGCGTTAGCAGGTCTTGTTAGCAGGTGCCGTCAGCAGCATGATGATAATAAGGACTGCAGTGGTATGGTATGGTAATATCACCCAGGTTTAGTGGACAGATGTATTTATACAAATAAAATCCAAATAAAAAAGTAAGCTCTATTATACTAGCCTATCATTGTTATTTTGATTTGTACCCTTCAAAACCTAAAGGTGTGCCAGATTATAAGAGAAACATTTCCATCAGCTAATTTCAAGTCTTCTTTCCTCAGTGACAACATTCACACCAGTTTTTCTATTGCTAACTGCTTTGACGACTCATCAACCTCGGCAAACGCAAAGGCTGGTTTACCTCAGTCAGTTTAACAGATATTGAGCAAAAATTTGACGTGGTAGTAGCTGAGAGTCGTTCACAACAGAGTGCTAACAGATGGAGAAAGATCTCATTATACTGAGTGAGATGAAAATATTTTAGAGGTTTGAACAAAACAGCTATGGCTCCATCCAAGGTTCCCAGCATTTCATGAAACGCAATTCCCTGATTTTCTTTCCTGAGTAAATCCTGAAATTCCAAGAGATATTTCAGTCACATGAAACGCTCAGAACTTAGCATCTTAGATGGAGGGCAGGGTCACATTCAGAGATGACAGGAAGTATACTGTGACCAACAGGACGTGCATACGTCAATCAAACTTAATAAATGATTTTATTGTATAACATATAAAGCCTCCACAGCCAATCAGTGAGGATGTACACTGTAGAACATGGATTCATTGATACTAGCATGAATACATGAACATGTCCAAATTTCAGAAACATCATCTTTTAATCAACAGGTCAGGGTTCAAATTCTCTTTGTCTTTAAAATTTGAATGTCATTTTTAGGCCTGTCGCGATAAACAATAAATCAATCAATCGCATAATAAATGAAAATTATCTACCTCATTTTCATTTAGTGGCTTTATCGTTTCTTCGTGTCGCTCTTTCTAATGAACACTGGATGACAAAGATCAACTCCGGTGCTCTTCACTGACACCTCCCTTTCTCTTTAAAATCCATTTTAACAGTCCAGAATTGAGATTTTTGATCATTAAAAGCAGTTAAGCTGAGAAGCTAAGCTATGAGCTAAGCTAACAGGCCGACCTCAGGAAAAAAATCTCCGTCTTGTTGAAGCTCCAAAATTCACAGTTGAAACCCGTGCCTTTGTGTACAAAGTTGTTTATCTTTACCAAAAAAAGCTGAGAACTTGTTTACTGATTTAATTTTTTTTTTAATTAAAAGCTTTGTGTGAAAAATGCTATGCTAAAGAGCTCAAACCACACCGAGTGTCCACCATTTTGAGAACCGAAAAAAGGAAGGAAAGACAGCCCATGTCACGTCAAGGGGCCTCCCTCCCATTTTCTTAAAGAGACGCCGCTCACCCTCACTATTCATCCTTCAGTTCAAACAGTCTTATACTGCCATCTGGTGATCGAAAAAAGGTACTATGTTCAAAACAAATTAACCAACATTTATTTTTAAATTTGACAATAATTACTAATTATTGTCAAATTTCAAACAATATTATCGTTTATCGCAATCATTTCTGAGACGATTAATCGCCCGGCAAAATTTGCTATCGTGACAGGCCTAGTCATTTTCTTGGTTTTCTCTGATTCCTGGGACCCCTGCTATCATTTCTCAACATAAGATAATTTTAGTATAAATCTCTGACATGAGAGGCGGTGCTATATAAACCTTCAAGGAAAGCCAGACTTAATTTTTATTATGTTTTACTTGATTCGAGTGATCAGTGCAGCCTTAAACGTAATCACTAGTCAGTGACTTTCCTCCTTACCAGTCCCACTATGAGCAGGAAGTGTCGTCCCTGCGGTTGGCTGAAGCCCGGTGCGGAGCTGACCCCTCCACTACCTCTCTGCTGGGGAAACACCTCTCTCCAGATGACCAGCTGACCCACTCGCTGCACCGACGCCAGCGGCAGCAGACAGTAATGCTGGCAGTACAGACACACATCCAGCAGGTCCTCTTTTGGAAGATGGTTGGCAATCAGGTAGGACTGAGGGGGGAGATGGAGCAAACACCAAAGACCTTTTTAGTCTTTCACCACAGAACAAACTTATCATGCTTTCTTGTAAAGGACAACCTGGTGTCTGTGACTTTTACACATGACTTGTGACTCTGTCAGGGCAGGATCTAAATGCTGAGTCACTGCAGGAACTGAAGCACGTTTTCACTTCAAAACCCACCTTGTAGAACAAACAGGAGCCAAGTATTACATAGAGACGCCTCAGGCCAAAAAAGTCCTCCGACTGCAAGAAGAAAATGAAGGATAAGGATAAGAAAGTTCACCGCCATTGGTTATAATAGACTGGTATTGTTGTGTGTATTTTACTTCATAATTAACCAAAGAGTGATAGATGGGAGATTTATGTATTTATTTTATAGATCTGATGTATGACTTTACATAGTTGTTGTCAAATGTTTCTCCCTCTGAGAGGAGCAACACTGATACTTAAAGTTTCCAGTCTATGGCAGTAAGAAGAGAAAACACCACTCTTTGACAGACATCATCCATAGAAGAGCAAGTTGTCACAGAACTGGTGGACATTCTGATTCCAAGCAGGTTTCTCTGGGGGACTGTAGCCTTGACGAACCAGAGCACTGATAATCATGAAATCTCAGTTTCATTCACAACTGCTGGCCTCCACACTACAGTATATTAACGCTGTGGTCTCAGGAAAATACAGTTTTATTATGTTCTTATTAAAAATAAACATGTAAACATATCCACCAACACAACCACCTCGTTTTACTTTTTTCTCTGTCCTGACGAGACCAAACGACGGATGGTAAAACACCTAACACATAACAGCCTGCATATGTGCTCATTTAACTGCACCAAACTTAGAATCAGTAACACAACACCAATCACCTCTTTGACACAAGTTAACATGACTTATGACTTGTAACTGAATATAAGGAGCTGGATAAACAAATCAGGTTCTCACCATTTCTCCAAAATCAGAAGACTCAAAATCAGAAAGAACCATGTCCACCTCCACCTGTGAATAAAACATAAAGGCAGCACAATGTCAAGCACAAGTCTTAATTTATGTTGTGCACATTTCTTCAAACTTCAGCTTGTTGTATTTTGTATGAACAAAAGATGGCGCCAAAGCTGCTTTAAAAGCAGAAGCTCTACATGAGGCTTCCAGAGAGCATTGATTCTAACCTTCATCCCATAGACCTGGGGTGTCCACACTTTTTCAGCATGCGAGCTACTTTTAAAATGACCAAGTCAAAGTGATCTACCTACTTTAAGGCCCTGTTTACACGAGAACAACCTCTGGAAACATTAGTGTTTTTTCAATGTTTATTGGGGGTTATAAACAAAAAATGAGTGGGTTTACATGAAAGACGCTGTAGTTTCCATGTCAGTCAAGTTGCCAGATAAGAAATGATGAACTATAGTAGTGTGGCTTTAAAATGATAGTATTTTGACCAAAACTGTCATATGTGCTGAGTAAAGAGATGAGGTGTGTGTTGTGTTTGTTGAACATGTGCACAGAAAAGGGGGTAAATAAGACATTTTAAATTTACCTGGCAACCCTGGCTCAGCTGCATTCATCACACATGATAGTTATGTCCAAACTGGTGAATACACCACCGTCTCTTTGGAACTGGATTTCATTAGTTTTGCTCCTACATGCTGAAAAAGGGTGAGTAGCACAAAAACACTCTGCTCTTTGTCGTTTATTATAACTGTTGTTAGTGCAGAAAAACTTTGTACTGCAGCCGCCCTTTAGTGCGCGTGTGACTTCACTTGCAGAGTAATTCATACCTTCGTGTGGGGTTCCCCCAAAAATCTCCACTCTCACCTGGATTCAGAAACCTTCAATTTCAGAGAGAATCAGGGCTGTCGTCTGTAAATGAACGACCGAGTGTTTCACGTTGTGGAAACGGGCCCTCAGACTGGCTGCCCTGTCTGTCAATCAAGTAATCAATTTCATAGTGAGGATGGATGATAGGCTGACGTTTATTCTTTTTTAATGCCATGCCATCTACCTATGATACATTTGTGATTGACCAGTAGATCATGATCGACCAGTAGATTGTGATTGACCAGTAGATTGTGATTGACGTATTGAGCACCCACGCCATAGACATATATACTCTGTGCTTCATCCACTGCTGTTTCATGACAATTCACAGGAACACACCTTGACTTCTGGAGGCAGAGTGAGCCATCGCACCGCTGGTAAACCATCTAAAAAAAGACTTCCCGAGACGTCAGGTGGTGGCCCGGAGGAGCCTTCCCTCAAACTCGAAGGCTGGATGAGCTGCTGGAAGAACAAGCAGAAGAAATGGTCCAGTCTGGGAGTGTGGTCCTCCTCACAGAACGCCCTGCAAAGGACACATGGGAGATGTCCAATCAAGTCGGAATATAAAGAACTACAGAAGAATTATCATATTTTAGGATGAACAAAACATAGGAGGAGGAAAAAGTAAGAAGGTGTTATTTTTATACAAGAGGAAGTTTCAACCAAAACCAACAACAAAGCGGACCTGTCCAAGGAGCCGTACATCACTTTTAATGTCCGCACCACATCGCCCACCACCGTCTGCAGAGACAGCAGAGGAACCCTGCAGGGAGATGGAAAACAGTCAAACACAGACATGGCTGGACTTCAGCGCAACTAAAGCTGCTTAAATGTTTCTGCTACCTGCAGCCAAGAGGAAAAATAAAAATGAAATAAGTCACGTTTGTCTGAATGTGGGTGCAGAATATTCAAGCGTGACCATCACTTTAGGCAGGCAGACACATCCTCAGGAGGATTTTATGATTCATTTCTAGAATTAATTTATAACCACATGCCCCTTCCTGTAAAAACACATTCATTTTGGAAACAAAAGGGCCAACGAGAAGCAGATGTTTAAAGGACATCTGAAGAAAACAGACGGTCTTTTCAGATTGCATTTACAGATTATTTCCTTTCTCATTAAAAATATTGCTATTATAAAACACAGGTCATCTGATTTTTACAAATCTGAATGTGCTGTTTATTATGACACCTTTAAGTTGTGCGTCGTCTAAGACAGATCTGTGTGCATCGTGTGTGTGTTTTCTACCTCTCAGCAGGAAGACCGATGACCAGCAGGTTGTTGCAATCTTTCCAGTAGCCGACATGAACCAGATGATTCCCGAGCCACAGAGACGAACTGATCGACGGAACAGAAATAAATGGAGATTTGAAAAAAGGAGGCCAAAATAAACTAACAGAAGAGGCTGAACTTGGAATTAACACGAGTACAAGTTAACTGTAACCAAATAACGTCCTGATGCATGCTCAATAATCCAGGTAGATAAGTCTAACCAAATTCAAATCAGGTCCTCTGGACGAGTTCTTCTTTGTTGAAACTACCTGGTAGTTTGAGGCAATCCTAGCCGAAGTGGTTCAAAGTGGATTGAACCTTGTTAGATTCAGCTACCTGGATTATTGAGCATGCATCAGGACATTTCAGATGAAGTGACATAGAAGTAGTGACGCAGAAGTAACCAAATAACACTTTTATCCCAGTTGTCAGATTAAGAAAAACTCTAATGTGAACTGGAAAGGACTTTGGAAGCACATATAACAAAAATTAAAGAAATTGTATTTCCTGTGAAAATACAGTGTGAATGATTACTGCTGAAGGATTTTTGCTGAAAGCTGCTGAAGAAGCTGAAACCAGGCTGAATAGGCTTCATCTCTGAACTCTTAATGGAGTTGAACTTGAACAGCTGACGTTTGCTGAACGCAGGAAAATAAAAGCAAAAACGCTGAATAAGAGCAGAAATGTAGCAGGAAGTTGAAAAAAGCTGAACCAGAAGAAAAGCTGAAATGAGCAGTACAATGTTTTAAACAGCTCAAAAGGTTTGAAGGATGTGAAGAGAGCTCTGTTAGATTTAAATGAGAAAAACACAGCTGACAAAGCAAAATATTTCATTAAGTACCGGTAAGCTAAAATGGACATACAGAGGCTAAATAGATTACACAAAATCTGAAATGAGCAAAAAAGTAGTTGAAAGGGCTAAAAAAAAAAAAAAAAAATGCTGAAATGAGCAAAAAGAGATAAAAGATGAAAATAAGCAAAAATAAATAAATAAGTAGGAAAAAATATTAAAATTAGCAGCAAAATACTTAAAAAGTTGCTGAAAAGACAGAAAAAGAATTTAGCAAACAAAAAGTGAAAGAAGCAAAGAAAAGATGACAAAAGATGAAATGAGCAGTAAAACGTTTTAAAAAGCTCAAAGATTTTGAACGCTGTTAAGAGACCTCCATTCAGTGTCAATGAGGGAAATAATGGCCGACAAAGACAAATATTTCAAAACATAAAAATTGCACAAATACGAAAAGACAGAGCAGAAACGTCCTGAATGAGCTGAACTTTTTGATGCATGAATGGTTGAAATAGAACAAAAACTGCAGAATGAGTTGCATGCAGAAAAACATACAGAAGACAAATGGATCTGAATCGTGTGAATGCTTCATAAACTTCATAACTTCATAAACACTATTAATATACAATAGAGTGAAAATGACTAAGTTGCTAACAAGGTTGGCAAACATCCCAACAGTCCATGTAGTTTAGAAATCTTAAATCAAAGCAGCTGCATTGATTTGAACATTTTCCTCGTCTTCACAGAGTAAATTGAAGTCTTCTTTTAACCTGATGATCCGCCCCGCTGTGACGTTCTCCAGCATGTCACAAAGTGTGAGGAAGATGCCCCTCACTCCTTTCAGCCGGCTGGATGCTTCAGACACGGGGTACTGGTATAGGATTTCCTCCTGAGAACACAGAGACAGCACAGTTTAGAAACTGCTGGGTCAAATGCTGCTCTGTGTTGTGACAATTACACATGTGGTGAAGAAAAACATCTCTGGTTTGCCTAGAAACAGAAAAATGTATAATATCTGATCTTGGATGCTACAGTTACCAAAAGTTTATGACTTCTGTAAATTATAGACAAGCTACTGGATGTTTTTGTGCAACCTGGACAGTCTTCTCACCAATGTTCACTCTGGAACTTTTAGTGTGAATAATACTGTATTAATTGTAATTTTATTTTCTTCTTTTTTAATACATTTTATCATTTATAATCTATATTATATATTACACTACTAGAGGACAAATTGGCCTAATTTCCTTAAATGAATTGTTAAAATTGAATAGTTTTCATTTGATATTATTTCTATCTTAACATGCGATTCTTGACCAGCCATTGTGTATCTGTTCCTCTCAAACCCAGCCGGTCAAAGCAGATGGCCACTTGTCCTGAGCCTGGTTCTGCTAAAGGTTTCTTCCTCATGAGGGAGTTTTTCCGTTCCATTGTCACCTTCATGCTTGCTCAAGATGAGAGTCTGTGATGGAGTTAAACTCAAAGCAGTCTGCTCCACAGATAAATAATGTTAAATTATTTTTTCCTATACGTATATGAATGTTTCTGTTCAGTGCCCTAAGATGGCTTCTGTTGTGACTTGGCGCTATATAAATAAATTGAATTGAAAAAAAAAAAATATATATATATATATACACACACGGACACACACACAATCACATGCACACACACACACACACACACACACACACACACACACACACACACACTCACACTCACACACAGGGACAGGGACACCATGAACTATGAGACCAGTAAGATAGTGGGTGCCCATATGCAACATCACCTACAATCACTGGTTACCAAAGGTAACTATTCTTACAAAGTTACTTTAAACTGAGTTTTAGCTTCTATTAACTAGCATTTGCTAATGTAGCTCATGTTTGGCTACTTAAAACTAGCATTTTGCTCCTGATAACTACCGGTAGTCTATTGTTACTTTTAACTAACATTTTGTGCTATTTTAGGCTAGCGTATTGGTACTTTGCATGTTACATAATACTTTTCTACTTATAACTGAAGTTTAGCTACATTTGTATAGCATTTTGCTACTTTCAATCCTCATCTTGCTACTTTGAACTAGTGTTTTCTTACTTTGATAAAGTGCTGTGTTACGTATTACTTGCATGTTTTTACTTTTTACTTGCATTTGGCTACTTTTGCTGAATCTCAAGTAACACTTTGCTAAACAGGGCAATCCCTCTCCTCTAAACATTTTTTTTTAGATTTATTTTTTTAAATTATTATTTTAAAAAAAATGTAATAGGCCATAAAGTCTGGACACAACAGTCATTTTGATTTTTCTTCCCCACACCTAGAGAATAATCAAATTTAATTCCATATATTTAAAGACTGCACAGGAGCCATGTCTTTTCCTAAATCAGCTGCGTTTTATTCATTTTTAGAAATTTGTAATTACATTACATTTTATATATTTATATCCAGATGCCTGCATTTACTGCAATAAAAATATTGTAAGACTAAATGCTGCATGAAAACTACAACTCAGTGTAAAAACCCAGACACGAGTGAGATTAGTATTCCTCCCAGCTGGGGTTGAAGGATGAAGGGCAAGGATCAGCTAAAGAAATCAGGGGTGAGGGGATTGAAAACCTTGAATGAACTTCCTCATTACAGCCCTGGCTACTAGAACAAAAGCAAAAATCAAGACCTGAGGCCAGTTTTTCACTGAGGCCAAAACTTAAAACACAGGAAGGCTGCTGAGAGTGTGAGAGCGAGCACTGCCTCGTCTGTAAAAACAACTTAACGAGAGCCCACATCAACAAGCCGTCACAGAACGGACACGAGAAAACACCACAGCTGCTGAACATCTCGTACTTCTACAACCCTGCAATCACCGGGCTGGGAAATCAAAGTCAGAGGTTTAGAGGGTTTCCACGCAGCACTGTCATTTAGAAAATTACCCTCTGGCTGATGTGGCTCCAGAAAACCTTTGCTTTACATTTCAACTGAAGTCGATGTCAGAAGAAAAAAAAATATGGTAAGAAGATACACAAGAAGCAACCTGAAATCAGCTGTCCACAAAGAATGTCCATTTCACAGCAACGTTTTCCTACAGCGTGGGCATCTAATGATATACAGTGTCATTGATGTGATTCTGATTTAAACTGCTGCTACACTTCAGTCAAAAGAATGTTGAGACCAGGATGTCCACGACATTAAAATCATGGTTCATTAGTTGTAAGAAGCTGAAGTAAAAGCTTTCCATAGCGTTGTTTTGTTTTTTCCAGTCTTGGCAGTGGCCCGAGGTGCTGGAAACCTTCCAGAGCAGTAGCTTTGTAAAGACTCATGAGGGAAATTCAGAGAGAAACCTTTTCACTTCTAAAGTTTGGCCTGCCCTCTCATTCGCCACACTCGGTTACCAGGAAACACTTTCTAAGAATGCAGATAAAGTTCAGAGCCGCACTGAAGTTTTCAAGGGGAGCTGTGAGCTTTTAACGCAAAATAATGATCAAGTTTTCTCACAGATCGACTTTTCTTAAAGGATAAAAAAAAAAAAATCTTACCTCCCACGGTTTGATAAACAGTAGCTTTATGTTGTATTTTCTGTAAATTTGACTTGTTTCTGAATATGTTGAACTTTTTTTTTTGTCCGCTCTCAGTACCCCACAGCAAGCTTGGCGGAAATCTTTTCATTATTTATATAAATGTTTGTGTAAATGTTCAACCTCAAATACCATTTGTAGTAAATCTGGGCTTTTGAACTGGAGGACTTGAGGTCTACAAATGAAAAGATTCTCCCCTTTGTTACACAAATCTGATTAAGGTAAAAAAAAATAAATCCAAACAGTCTGGACTACTGTATTTTTCGGCCTATCAGTCACGTTTTTTTGCATAATTTACATGCCCTGCGACTTATAGGCCGAAGCAACGTATTCATGGATTTTTTTCCCCAATATTTATAAACCAACTTTTGGCTGAGAAGACCGTTTTCATTCATTCTGACTGAAAAATATTTTGAACAGTACCATTTTCAGCCACTAGATGGTAGCAGAGTAGTAGCTGTAAGGCATGCCTTTGTATTATGTAATAGGTAAACGTGGCTATAATGACAATTTAAAAAAAGTTCAAGACAAAAAACAACTGAACTTTATTTATTATACTTTATTGTTTTTGTCTTGAACTTTTTTGAATTTACCATGTCCTGGATGACTGAGAATCTTCATCAGCTATTAATGACACAATCGGCTTGCCATTGTACCCCCCCCCCCCCCCCCCAAACTTCGTTCTGCTCATTGCTTGGAGCAAGTCAAACCAGCTGCACCGCCTCGGGGAAATGCAGCTATCTTTACTATAATTTTGAGCAAACAAATAATTGTTTTAGATGCTTTTCTTGTTAAATTTCGAAAAAACAAGCAGCATTCCTCCTTCCTTTTTTCCCTCCCTCTGCGCTCGTCCCTCTACGCATGCCCACCGCTTCTGCGAATCGGGTTTTGAAATACACATGATTTGACCATCAAAGTGCATTTATTAAGCAAAAGTTAAACTGAGACACACCTTTGCTATATAGTCACACAAACAAATAATTGTTTTTAAGTGTTAATCTTGTTAAATTCTTGTTAAAGTCCTCCTGTGCACGTTCCTGCGGCCTCCATTTGGCAGCCCATCGATTTTTGGCACAACACCGGCCCACATTTCCAGGTTGTCAGCGGTGAAACATAATAGATACAACGTATATGGCGAAGTGACATATTTATGGATTTTTCCACTTTTTTAGACATATTTGGACTGATGCAACTTATAGGGCGGTGCGACGGCTACAGTGGAAAATACGCTATTGTGACACAAATCCCCCCTCCCATCCCTGTTTCATTGGTCCACTGTGACCTGTCGGGTAATTTCATTGGTTAGGTTTATTTTAACCTTTATTTATACAGGTAGTCTCACAGAGTCACGAGGACCCCCCCAAGAGAGACGTGTATTAGGCAGCTGTGTGAGCGCCCGGGTGTGACGAGGCTAAATTCTTGGCGGCATGAATCTCGTTAGCCCATCAAAAAAAAAAAATCATAAATTAGCCACAGCATTGTATAAGCTGCTTCAAAGAGTGTGAAAAAAGTATAGTGGCTTATTGAGCATGGACTTTGTTGTTTTCAACCAGTTTGACAAGACTGTCAACAAAGAAGAGGCCGGCAATGGAGGAGGGGCGTACCAAAGAGACCATCTTATCACAAGCAGAACTGGTTTGTTCCACTTTGGAGTAAGCTGTTGGGGGAAGAATCAGTTTTGTTGTGTGTTTCCTTGACTGATGAAGCCTTCCGGATCGAAGGCGAAACGTTTCAGCGCAAAAAAAAAGAAAATGTCCAGATGACCTGACTAAAAAATTTTGGATTTTATACCTGGATTATTGAGCATGGACTTTGTTATAGCGGCTTATAGTCCAGAAATTACGGTAAATTCCTCTTATTTTCAGCTAGTGGCATCTCTCCTACACTGCGTCCTCACTTTCTGCATTAAAATATAGCAGAAAGTTTAGATAAAACTATTCTTATTCAGTGGTTTAATTTGCTTTTATCTGACAGTCAGAAGCATTAAATAAATTGTAGAAAATTAAGACTTCAATATAGAAAAACATTTTCTTCTTGTGGTACTGCATCAATATCAAACCTGGGCTGAGTGCGAGACATTTCTCCGCTGACTGAACACAAACTGACCTCCTGCAGCGATGCCGAGTCCAGTTTGAGCGACAGGTACATGACAATATGAGGGATGTGTTTGATGGACATTTGGAGCTCAGCTGTGTCCTCCCCCCACAGCAGACGCACCAGCTGGCTGACTGGTGGGGAGGTCTTCATCTTTTGGACTGATGAGAAGTCCCTGTCCACCGGAGTCACCGTCTCTAACGTCAGCTTCACCTGGAGGAGGGCGAGAGGAAAGGCACATGGAGATTACAGGAGACAAGTGAATTTCTGAGAAACATTCTGTGGCTCCTTTATCGCATCAGCAAACCAACTACCGGTAGTTGCTCTCAAAGTTTTCTTGGATTTTTTTTTTTTGTGTGTAAGAAGGTCCAGTCTATTAACAGGACCGGTTTATGGAATCTAGATAAAAATTTAATCAAGACAAACATTAAATAACCCACTGCCAACATTCCAGTGCCAGTTACTGCCCAGTGCCCAAAACAGACAGAACAGAATAATTAGAAAAATAACTGGGGCGATGTTTTGAACCTCTTTGGCTGTGGCTGCCTGAGAGGAGTCGACGGGGGAGAGGGCGGGCCCCAGAAACCATCTTATCACCAGCAAACTTGTTGGCCCACCATGTGAGTGTGCTGCTTGTGGGACTGACTTTGTTGTGGCTCCTTGGACTGATGAAGTCCTTTGGATGAAGGACGAAACGTCTCAACAAAAAATAGAACCCGTTCAGATGACCTGACTGAACTTAGTTGGATTTTTTTATCTGGATTATTGCGCATGAACCTTGATGATTGGGGCGATTGTTGAATGTTGTGTCAAACTTGGACAGTAAAGCTGCAAAGGGTGGAGGTTCTCAAGGTGAACGAGTTTAAGTACCCAAGGTCAAACATCCCAAGCAACGAGCAGAGAGGTGAAGAAAAGAGTGCAGGCAGGGAGGAGTGTCGGGGTGATTTGTGACACAAAGAGAGCTGCAAAGGTGAACAAGAAGGTTCACAAGGTGGTGGTGACACGTGCTATGATGTTTGGTTTGGAGACAGTGGTGCTAACATGAAGACTGGAGCTGGAGCAGAGACGAAGGTGTTAAGGTTTTCACTGGGAGCGACCAAAACGGACAGGATTAAAAACGGGTCCATGATCAGAGGGACCGCTCAGGTTGAGAAGTTTGGAGACTAGTTAGAAAGACAAGGCTGAGACGGTTTGGACATGTGCAGAGGAGGGATAGTTGTGGATATTTTGGACAAATAATGTTAGACAAGCATAGAGAAGGTTGATGGATGCAGTGAAGGTGGACATGCAGAGGGTGGGTGTGACAGAGGAGGATGCTGAGACAGATGAAGGGAGATGATCGCTGTGGCGACTCCTAAAGGGAGCAGAAAAAAAAAAAAAAATTTACTGCCCACTGTTGAAAGGCTAAGGGCAGGAAACAATAAGTCTGTATGTGAATGTGTCCATCTGTTAGCAAAATAACTTATGAACCACTTGATATTGCAAAATAATCGATGTACCGGTAATATATCTATAATAGAGCTGTCATTTCTAACCCGGTCCGGCCTCCCCCGAATTGTGCTGGATGGGCGGGCGGGTCGGGCTTTTGGCCACAATCTAATTATATGGCAACATGGCTTGCCATACTATCCAATTATATGGCAACATGGCTTGCCATACATTCAAATTATATGGCAACATGGTTTGCCATACAATCAAATTATATGACAACGTGGCTTGCGATAATACACCAGCCGCATGTGGCCATTTCACTGCGAGCTGACCGGCCTTGAAAGAGGTAAAATAAAGTTCAGTTAAGCTTCAGATGAGACTGTACTGCCAGGCAGCGATCCATCGCTCAAATGGATGTTCATTCAGCCAATGCACTCAGTGGACGCACGTGACCGACGACCCAAACAGGTGAGATCCCAAAGCAGACATGTCAGAGAGGGATTTAATGCGCTTTGACAGCCAGGAAAGGACAAACACCCCCTCAGCTCCGATCTTCTGTCCCTTTTATTCAGCCACGCGTCCGCCAACCGTTAATAACTATATAAGCAGTCAAAGCTTAATCAAAAATGTCGGGGGTTCGGACCTGTAATTACTGTTAATTCGTCGGGTCGGGTTCGGAAATGATGGCTACGGGCTGGGGCCGGGTCGGATCGGATTTTTTTGGGCCCGAATGCAACTCTAATCTACAACTAAATAACTTTTGAACTCAGCCCAACTCAAGATGGCCTTCACAGCTTATCGACTTCAGCAATTACACAAATGGAGACAGCTCAGTCAATTTTGCAGATATACTGTATATATATAAAAAAATACGTGTTAGTAGCTGAGAGTCGTCAACATATACTCTGAGTGCTAACAGAGATCGAGCTGTGTCGAGTGAGCTCACCAGTGGCACCTCCAGAAATATTTTATCGGGGTGGCCTGTGGGGGCCACTGACCCCGCTGGCGTGGCACTAAAACCAGAAGCCAGAACAGAATTCAGGAGATTTGTTATTCAGGTCTCTCTTATAAATGAGTCCCCGAGGCTCAGTGGGATTAACCTGTATAAATAAAGTTCGAATGAATGTTGTTGTCAGTATAAATTATTTGATAAATACGGCAAGACAGGAGTTAGGAGTATAAAAACCACTAACGTAGATCTACTGTGGTTCCCAGTCGATATTACTTATTAAGAAAAACACTCACTACTTAACTTATTGAAGCTTGTCTTCTCCTAAATTCATATATATAATAAAATATTACGAATATAAAACTGTCACTGGAGGCAGTGTGTGCCACCAGTTTTTAGGGGTGGCCATTATCCCCCCCTAACCCCCATGTGGCGGTGCCTCTGGAGATCACGAATAACATCATTTTCAAGATTTGACCAAAACATCTATAATAACTCTGGTTTTTTATTAGCACGAGAGGATTTTAGTCTAAAACTTGTAACAAAAGGCAGCGGGTGATGTTTCTGTCAGCTCTGCCTTTAATTTGTTACTGCTTTTAAGGTGATGATGTTTGTTTGAGCTGCAGAAAGGCCAACAGAACTAAAGGCTCTGCTAAGACTCGAGCTTCCTTACAGACACAGCTATAAATTCTTACCATGACGTCCACCCTGCTACTGGTCACGCCCAAACTACAGCACGCTTGACCGAAACACAGAGTGAGAAATAATTCACAAAAGAAAACCTCACATTATTTCACTCCGATCGCTGCAGATTTAATGACCAAGACTGGGTCAGAAATTTGATTCCAAGCATTTTTGTGTCTGCGAGTTTACTCAGAGACATAAAAGAAATGCTGCAGGCAGTGCTTTAAATAAATGTGCTTTTTTCATGTCCTAAACCATTCGGAGCTGACCAAATATGTTAAAAAAAAGATTATATTACCAAGTCAAATATGGCAAAGCTGTATTTTTCTAATCCAACCATCACTCCCAGAGCCTGTCAGCTTTAACCACAGGACACCAGCCGCTCCAGCAGGCGCCTACATCTGGCCTCCTGACTATTTCAGCCCGTTTTACTGGAACACTGTTATTAAACAACAGCCGGGCAGCACAAATCATCACGAGATGAGCCCCTTTAAACCGATGATTCAGATGGAATAACTGAGTACAGCCAAATCAGTTTCATGTGGCTGTGTCTTCAGGTTTTTGGGGATTTATAAATAATCTAAGAAGGTACTGATTTGTGTGCATCAAAATAAAAAATAAAAAATAGAGAAATTGCATTTCCTGCAAAAATGCAGTGTGAATGCTTATTGCTGAACAGCTTGCTGAAAAACAGCTGAAATTAGCAAAAAACATGACAAAATGGAAGAACAAGCCCAAGTTAGCAGAAGAAAGCAGAAACATATTTGCTGATTTATGTTTAAATAAGCAGGAATGAGCACAACAATTAGTAAATTAACTATAAATGCAGAAATTGGCAAAAAAAAAAAAACAGCTATACAGTAGCTAAAAAGCAGAAAGAAGCCTAAATTACCAGAAGGAAGTGGAGAGAGAACAGTTTTGCCTAATTAGTCTTAAAGAAGCAGAAATGAGCACAAAAAAGTGGAAATTATTTGAAAAAAGCTGAAATTTGGAAAAAAAAAATTAAAAAGGTTGAATAGTAGCTAAAAAAACAAAAAGAAGCTTAAATAACCAGAAGCACGTGGAGAGTATATTTTTGCTGAATTAGACAGATTTTTAAAAAATTAGTGCAAAACACGTGGAATGAGCTGAAAAGCTGAAATTAGCACAAAACAGCTAAATAGTAGCTGACATAGTACAAATAGCTAAAACTTGCAGACATAAGCTGAAAGGAGCCTAACAAGCTGAAATGAACAGAACGAAGTTAGAAGAAGCACAAAAATGTTGTAGTTAGCAGAAATAATCTGAAAGCAGCACAAAACAGCTGAAATCAGCTGATTTTTTTTATTTAAATTTGCACAAGGAAGGTGAAAGAAGCTGAACCAGAACAAAATGTGAAAGGAGCAGTAAAAGGTTGTAAACAGATCTAAAGATTTGAAGGATGTAAAATGAGCTCCATTCATTTTCTGAGAAATAAAATGGCAGAAAAGGCTAAAAATGTCAAAAAGCTAAAGTTGCACCAATACAAAAAGCCATAGCAGGATTGCCCTGAAAGAGCCGAACATTTTGATATATGATTTGTTGAAGTAGCACAAAATTTGTGAAACGAGAAAGATGCTGAAAAACATACAGAATAGAGACAGTATTTATAAGAAATATAAACAGGATCACAATAGTGTGAATGCACAAATAGAAAAATAAAAACTTTCAGGAAAAGCTCAGAGCAAAGAAATAAAGAGAACGAATGAGAAAACTGCAGCTTTTTCTCTTCATTAACTGTAAGGATGTGGTCAGACATGAGTGCACTGTTACTAAAATTCTAGTCTGTTGATGTCAATCATTTTACCAACCATTCAATGACACACACACATACATGCACGCACCCACAACACACACTGAGGAGACACTAGTTCCTTTAAGGTTAAATAGTGGATTGGCTTTTAACACTAATATTAGTCCTTCAGACAGTAATAAGTACTTCTGTGTGGGATGCATGCCACACAAAAAAAAAAAAACTCATCCAAAATCAAACGCAAAAACCTCACACTCCAACACACACATGGTAAAATCATTCTGTCAGCAATGCAACACTTTTTCCAAGTCTGAAAGAACCCGGAGAACCTTGTTATTTTTCCATAAAATCCTTCCCTGCGGTGTAACTCGGTTTTCA